CATGATACGCGAATTGCATTGTTAATAAAGGCCTCTATTTACGGCATTAAAATAAACAAACAAAGAGGGACGTGGACTTGGATCATCCGTGGCGCATTTTATAACCGCGGCACTCTTTATCGAGGGAAAAGAGTTTAAACTTGAAGAGTTTTCAGTCAAACTTAATGTTAACATAGCCTTAATTTATGCATTTGGCCAAATAAGACGTTTCTTCTTTCTGAAAACCACTTCAACTTTGCATATCCTTTGAGTGTTATCTAATATGCTTGCCAATTCTTAATTGTTTTTATGCTCCTTTTTGTTTCATCCTTGCTAATGAGCGGAGGGTGACTGATACAATTTTGGACCACTGGTGAATGAGACAGTAGCGATTGGCGGTGTTTTGTGCAAGGCTTTTTGATGACGCTTGATTTGCACCATAGCATAAGCGCATTATTGGCATTGTTGATTACAGGGGGGGGGGGGGAAAGAGGGAAAGAGAACGCGGCGCAAAACGGTGGCCGCCATATTAAAACTGCTTAGGTTGCCAGCATAGGTTTTGCAGCGGAGAAGTTGCTGCGATACACGGCGGACCGAGTTTTACTTTCTTTTTCGTTTTGAAACGAGAATGTATTGTTGTGTTACATAAGCCCTCCTGCATACAGACAACGAAGTTTAATTATATTTGTCTTGTTTACTTGTTTGAAACCCTAAAAACGTGTTTTTGACGACTTATTGCTTCCATCATTTTGGAGTGCGCAAGGCTCGCTGTTCTGGTTTCGGTTACGAAAGCAAGGCAAAACGCTCGTAGTTCCCGCTCCCAATACACGTTGGACACCTTCCACACTTTGACACCGGATAACTGGATGAACAAGGATTTACATTTACTTCAGAGGTAACTTTCGCCGCTTCCTCACAGTCGAGCAGCCGGATCAGCTGGCGGCAAGCCGCGTATGAAAGGCCTGAGCATCAACAGCCTAGAGCCACTTCAACAGCCCAAGTGCACTCAGTGCCGATGCGGGCGACGCGGGCTTCTGTCAACCCAGGGGCGGACCCAAGAAGGGGGGGGGGGGGGGGGGCGACGGGACCCCCCCCCCCCACCTGCCCCCTTCTCGAAGGCCGTTTTGACATGGGCCGGGCGGATCCCCCGAAATAAAACCAACTACCGGCCTGCCAGGTGGTAGGAGGCTCGGTACTCAAGGACGAGGGTTCGAAATAGCTTAGGTCGCACCCTAGCAGGCACACTTGTACTCTGAACTTGGAGAACCACTCCGTCGCTTCAACCGAGACTGAAGTCCGCGGCGACGGTTTCAAAGCACGGCTTAGAACCAAAAGTCGGCGCAGCGGCGCACATCTAGGGGCCGTCGGCGCAGTGTGGTTCTGCGGCGGTTAAAACAAAAGGCGCAACCCGAGCCCTGTTTAACTTGCTTTAAATTTACCTCCCCCCAAAAAAAGCAACAAAAAAGAAAAAACAAAAAAAAAACGGAGTTTTGGATCTGCCCCTGGGTCAACCGGTAGCCCAGCACAATCCGTGAACGTTCCAGCTCTTCGCCATGACACGGCGTTGCAGAAAGCAGGGTAAAATACAACTACACGGACCACCGAATCAAATGCACTGTTATCGTAAATATTGGCTTGTGATCGCGCCTTTGTAGACGTTTTGCTGGAGAGGCGCAACCGATGGGCATAACAAAATCGTTTGTGTATTCCGCATACCTCGCAAAAGCACTTACCCTGTCACCATTGCGAAAAGCGCGAAACACGGAGTCCACACCGCCCTGACTTTCCAGTCTTTTACCTGCTTTAGAGCAGTTTGTATCTGCTAGTAGGTATGTCTACTGAAACTGCAACTTGAAACTAGGGGCAATGCCAGAGAGAAAAGAGACAAAGTTAGGAAAGCATGCTCGCTCTCTCCAATTTCTGAACTCTCAAGTGATTGTACCATGATAAATTCCCCAACACCTTTTTCCAAAATAAAGAAAAAACGCTATGTTCACTACGTAAAAAATGGTCTCAGTTCATCCATCTGTGGGCAGGTAGGAAACGTTGCCCTAATTTATTCACACCGCATGACGAGCGGAACAAACTCACACGAGATTTACAAGAAAATATCGGTGGTGACTTAAGTGTCCCTGAAATTCTGTATGACCGGTCGTTTGCAGGACCGAATCATCTACTCGGGCGGTGTGCGTCGCTGTGCAAACGCCAACACGAAGCATAAAAACGGCAGGTCTAGGACAACAATCCGGAGTCCATTGTTCAATTAAAACGACGTAATTTTGTTGAAAACGCCCGCAGCTTTTTACTCACGGTATGCGTCGAGAATCTTCCATATTTTGAAACGGAACGAAGGAAGATTTACTTTAAAAAGCGCTCTCTGCGTCCTCCCGGGCCAGCTGGACCGGATCAGCTGACGACGACGAGACTGAACCCGTTGAATTTCAACCCCACAATAACCAATTTGCGCTTCTTGTTAGTATGGGCTTCTACCTCCAAGCACCGCACCACACACCACGAACGTTTCAACTCTTTGTCGCATCGCCGTGTTGCACCAAACCTATCTCTATCAGAGCGAGATCGCCGAAGTCAACGGAGCGCTGTCGTGAACCTTGGCTTGTGGTTGCGCACTCGTGGGCCCTGTGACTCCCTTCGCTTTCAAAGCACACCCGACGATTACGAATGATAGTTTCCGTCTTCTGGGACCACCCCAGGGGCACTTCTCAGGTCATGTCTTCGCTACATGTGCTCGTAAACCGCGTCAAACGGGGTCAAACGGTCAAACCGGAGCTGCCGAAGCAATCCCGGCGCCATGTTGAACGTGCGTTGTTGCTAGATTTTCTCCCACCAAACAAAAACAACGAAAGCAAACCAGCTCTAGCTTCCAGCGTACATCCGCGTTGCGCCGTGGCCAGATTTTCTCCGTCAGCTCTAACTTAAAGATGATTTACAGATGCAGCAACACTGGTATCAAGTTTTAACATGGCGGCCCCCACGGAGCGCCGTAAATTCTGAGGAGGGTGCATTGGAAGCGGCGGCACCTTCCCCCCTCCCTGGTTGATTACGGCTTCACCTGACCGAGTTTGGCGCTCATTTCCGCCATGTTTCTTGGTTAGTATCATTTTTTTTTAATTTGACTGCTCAACTAAACCAGTATAAGCGACTTCAAATTAGTTCTAAGCTCCCACGTTTCCTAATTCAAGTAAGCATTTCTGAGGCAATACCATGGGCGCCCATTTCTCCAATTTCCAGTTCCAAACAAATAAATGGCATTAAAAAATAAATATATTTTGTCATTTCAAACCTTTTTTGGTTATGACTTGACATATTAAAATTTAACTCTAAGCCTTACTCGGCGAATAAACTATGTTGCAATCATAAATTTTCAAATTAAGAGGTCATTACATGAAGACACATATTCAAATATATCGTTTTATAACCTTTACATTCGGACTACTTGAGAATTGTGAGCAATTTAATTGACCACCTTGCATACGGTAATATTTCTCTTTGAGTCCCCTAAGATGTTACAACAGGCTCGGTATTGTGGTTGTGAAGATATTTTATTTGTGGCAATGCATAAGGTAAGATTACAACAACAACAAAAAAAAAAGAAACAACGAATGCCGGTACGCATAAATGTCTTGTCCTTGGAATGTTTTCGTTACAGATTGAACAAAAATACACTTGAAGAAGCATATTTAGCTTTCATCTGTGACATCATAGTGCGAAATATTTTCTGTTTACTTTGTAAAACCAAAATATTAAAGCGATGAATACCGTGCAGAAGTAATTAACACTAACTCACATATTTTACACCCTGTGTGGCACCGGTCACAGAACAAAAAATATTTACCATCGGCCGTCAAGCAGAGGTTTTCGAAAATATAATGTTACCAGGCAAAATATCAAGCAACCCAGCTGACAAAGGGTTGCCTCAGCTTTATTTTAAACCGACTGGACTTAGAGCAAGCATTTTTTTTGCGGGATTGTAAAAAAAAAGGCTTAACAGACAAATGTTCAAATAACACTGCTCACTGGTATGATAATGACTCCGTTCCAAAAAGGAAAAGTATGCCGGTGAGCTGGTTAGAAGGCATCATATCATAATCTAAACTCTTAGACCGCTCGTCTCGGTGATTAGTTTATGATGAGTAACACCTTGCTGGACAGCGTTCTCGCCTCGCATTTGAAGAAGTGCTTGTTGAGTAATTAATTTAGGTTTTGCCCGTTGATGACATGGAAGCATCATAGTGAACTGGTTCAACCATGGGAAGAAACATGAAGTATTGAATGTAGACATGTCAACTAGAGCTCCTTGGCACACCTTCTACTGCTTAAACGTTATTAAACTGGAGAAAAAATAACAAGCTTGCTATAACACAGAAGTACATCTAAAAAGCAACTGGGATGACAAATGGGTAATTTTATTTTAGACTTCGGCGAGCGCGAAAGCTCTTTTTGGTATATTGTGACTTAGTAGTAATAGTAACTCAAACAACAACCTTTCTCATCCGTGAAAGACATGTTGCCGCAATGTTAATCAAGTAAAACATATAAAATAGCGCAACAGAAACAAGGACAAGAAGTAAACAGGACAGGCGCTCTCCTGTTTACTTCTTGTCCTTGTTTCTGTTGCGCTATTTTATATGTTTTACTAAGATGAACCAACTAGCCCAACAACGTACCTTATTAATCAAGTAATAATCAATTCTAAGCTAGTCAACCTCGCAAACAACAAAAAGAAACGTCCCGGAAACACGCAAGCAACGTGGGCCGATATGCTTACCTGCATCCCTTCAACATGCACCATTATTCGTTTCAGTTAGCAAATCACCTTTTGAAGGGTGTGTTTATCTCAAAATTACTGGCATATTTTGATGTCTGGTGTGGAGTGAACCTTCCATATATCAAATACTTAAAGAAACGCCAGGTTTAAGGTAACGCCAAGGTCGTTGTTGCAGTCTTGATGGCCAAGACCAGATCGCTCAGGTAGAAGCGCAAGTTCCTCCAGCCCTGCATTTGAGAATCGGGAGGAAGCTTGTTGATGTAGTACAGCAGGTCCGAGAAAACCGGGAATCCCTTGACGTCGTAGCGGTCGAATTCAGATGGCGCGAAGGCCAGATGGTGCACCAGGGGTCTTCCGGGGAGTCCGGTTGGCTTCAGGAAGGCCTTTTCGACATTCATCATCTTGTCGTTCAGCAGCCTCACCAGGGAAGGCCTTTTAGGGGAATATGGGAGGGTATACTCTAAGAAATCTGGAAAGCCTACGTCTCCGTTAAGCACTTAGAGGTCCAGCCACTGCAATCTACGAGAGCACTCGGCGAATGAGCAGCTTAAAATTATACCAAAAAAAACGATTTCGCAGTGGCACTCACCAGTATTAAACCTCACGGTCGGTGCCACAAAACAGGCTGTTTTTTATGTTTTTTTTAAAGGGCAGCTCTTAGGGGCCCGTTTCAGGCTTGAGCGTCGCCGTCGCCGTCAGTCTCGCCGTCGCCGTCAGTGTCGCCGTCGCCTTTGGCATCGCTGCCGCCGTCGGCGTAACCGCGCGATGCATTATGGGACATTTCCCATGATGCAACGCGCGGGGAAAAGGAGAAGGAGGAGGAGGATGAGGGGAAGGGGGAGGACGAGGGGAGGGAAGAAGGAGGGGTAAGGATGAGGAGGAGGGGAAGGTGAGGGGAGGAGGGAAGAAAAGGGAGGAGGAGGAGTAGCAGGGAGGATAGGGAGGAAGGAGGAGGGGTATACCCTTTCCTCAATACCCTTCCCTCGTCCTCAAGAGCTGTGCTGTAATTCGGCGTTACAGAGTGTTGCAAACGACTTTCATTTTTTTAAACATAGTGTAAGCCTCTTCATTCGACGAGCACGCTCCCTAGATCGCAGGGATTTGCTCTCCCATGTGTTTTGCAAGGAAGTACATGCTCCCGATGGGTGCGACCATCTGCTGGTTTATCAGTGAAACAATGGCCGTGAGTCTAAAGTTTCTGAGGAGCTATCGGAGAGCAGATCGGAAACGATCAACAGAGAACGTTTGCACAATGGTGAACCCTCAAGAATTGTGTCACCAACCTTTTAAGCTTCTCGTGACATTGGACACGACATATTATGTTAAAACGTCCTTTCTTTTTTTCTTTTTTTTGTTTTTTAGGGGGTGGGTATAACACTTATGTTTGCGGATTATATAGTATAGCTCTCTAAATAGGCTGCAAAAAAACAAAAACAGGTCTTTTTTTTTCTTTTTTTTTATGTTTTCAAATGGGACGTTTTGAACGAATTTCTGATTTCGCCTTTTTATGCATGCTGGTGGCTAGAACTTCCGCACATGCTTGACGTAATTTGAATGAAACAAGGATAAAACTATGATCGAAGTGTAGTGAGTGTTGGTCCGTCCTTCACCGAGAGCTTGCGAACCAGCTGTAAAGGACCACTAGACGCTGCTCGTTTGTGGCACAGTGGAGTGTTATACCTTAGAGGCTGAAGACGGGAATAAATTACATTTCACGGCATTTTCTTACTTCTTTTCTTTTGCATTCCTTCTCTACGCTGTTCCGAGTTGAAAGCCTCAGTTTGAGCGTATTTTTATTTTGAAGGTTTCCTGATATATATTTATTTTTTATAGTGCAGCTCTTAGGCGCCCGTTTCCGGCTTGAGCGGCGTCGGTGTCGGCTTAACCGCGGCTCGCCCCCCCCCCCCCCCCCCCCCCCCCGAGGACCTCGGGAGGACCTCGGGTTCCTTCGGGGGCCACGTGACCTCGGGAGGACCTCGGGTTCCTTCGGTAGGACCTCGGGAGGACCTCGGGAGGACCTTAGATACCTTCGGTGACATCGGGGACCCCCGAGGTCACGTGACCTCGGGGGGTCCCGTCAGTACCCTTTCCTCCTCCTCCTGAAGAGCTGCGCTCTAATTCGGCGTTACAGAGAGTTGTAGACGGCTTTCACTTTTTTCTTTTTCACTCTTAAGGCACATCTGTCACGTTTATGGTTGGAAAGAAACGAAGTAGAAAGTAATAAATAGTTCAAACTTAACACTCTATTTCAAAATTACACAAAATAAACATTGGCTAGGGTTCCGAGGTTTTTTTTCAATGTACTCCCTCCGGCAATATGAAAGACCCATTTGACTATTCAGTTTACGCGTTGGTGCTAAGCCCACACTTGCGAGACAGATTATTTTTAGGGGGGGAGGGGGGGGCGGGGGAAGAACAAATTTTAATTTGTATTATCATACTTGGAAACAGTGTCCTGTTCACAACAAATTCCGCAGATCCGCCTTAAACACCATCGTAGAATGGGTCTTTCATATTGCAAGAGGCTGTACCTTTCACAATTCAAGAAGCCCACTTTCACAAGTGCACTATAAGATGTCCCTTCACACATGGCGCTGCGCTATGCACTCATGATACAAATATTCCGCTTTCCTTCATTAAGCTCAATAAACAAGGCGGGCGATTCGTGTTCAGTCTTAAATAGCCATATGATATCCGCGCAACTTTGAATGGTCACCTTTTCGCCACTTAAGCTACTGACCGCAGCAGAGCGATGCTTCCGCCTTCCACACTGGTTAGCGGATTAATGTCTACAATGCGTAGTGCTAACTTTTTTCTTTTTTAATTGTAAAAAGGAGAGTTGCGTTTTTAAACACTTCCAGAATATAACGGGTCCTTTGTGCACTTCTCTGGTATCGTTTTTTTGCGGCAGTTTTAACCGGAGGCCATCTTTAGAATATTACGTTTTGATGGAAGTGCGAGCTTGTTAAAATTGAACACAAATGCAGAGAACCGTCAGATTACAAAAAACGATGATCTAGAATGATTATCTAGGCTTGCTTACTTGACTGTCTCGAGTGAGTCGATATACGTATGCCACTCTTCAGAGGCATTGCGGAACTTCTCTATCTGCATTCGGAGGGGACCTGAAAGAAAAATGAGTAACGCAGACAAACATGTTTGTTGAATTTTACTTCTATTGTCGCAAATGCTAGGCTTGAAATACAGTAGAAAAGGGCATATACCCCGCTGAGAAACACATACTCATTTACAAGTTAAGAAAGAAGTGGGTACTACGAAGATCGTAATTTGATTCGTAGTTTTACTGAAGAAAGGTTTCAGTATGTTCCAAAATTGTTAAGACGTCAAATATTTTATGAAAGATCGACAAATGATATGTAAAAAGACTTGCTTTTTACAATATGGCTTGAAGGAAATATACTTTCCCGATACCGGAGGCCCATCGGGAAGCTAGGCCAATCAAACATTCAAAGAAAAACGTTTATTTGTTAGCGATACGCTGGAAACACCCATGGCTGATATTTTAGGCAGTTCATTAAATAACAAAGACGAGCAGACGTTGAACCCAGAAACTAGCTTCATCAAAATTAAGTCTCAAAGGATATGTAACCCGTCGTTTCTAGCAAGTTCGAACGGAAGACAGAAGATAATTTTGAAGATGCCGACATCATTTTCTAAAGAGCTCGGAACAGGTTTAACCTTAGCGCATCGAACCCTAAGATAAGACACCGAAGGAACCCACTCACTTAGAAAAAAAGTGCCGGCGCCATTTTGAAGCTTTCAGTTGTACAAAAAGTGAGGACGCGAACGAGCTAGCGTAAATTGAACATAAATACAAAGAATTAGCCTATGCGGAGCGGAAGTTCGTCCGCTTCTTTTGCAAGGGTTGTGGTGACGTCAGTGCTCGACGTTCTGACGTCACCACAGCAACCCCTGCAAAGGAAGCAGACGAACTTGCTCTCTGCTTGTTAAGTTCATGCTCCTCGCTTTGTGATTGGTCCTTTGGCATTCTTATCAGCTAATGCCGCACTGTCACTGGCTGTAGGGCGATAGTAAGACGCTGGGGATCGGTCATACCCTGCGTCTCTTAAGCTGTCAGTGACTATCTATGCTTTGAATAGTTTCCAAGGTTGAGGATGAACTTTCATCGAATTTCCATACCGAGAGATATGCCGACGCTCTCCAACTGGAAGGCGATTTGCCGGGCCTCCATGTCGTCCACGGAAGCCCTGAGGCGCTGGGCAAGTTTGCGGAAGTCCATCGGCAAAAGAACAGAATCGCTCAGAAGGATCGTGGCGGCGCCGTTCATCTGGGCGCACATCTTGGCCAGGGTCATATCCTTGTCTATCAGGTTCTGATACAGGTACAGGGTGTCGTATGCTGTGTGGTACGCCGGGAAGGTCGTCGTACCGTACTTTTTCTGTGGGGGAGACAGTCTCCGTGTTAGGACTACCGCATTTTTTTAATTATAGTGTGAGGACTATGCATGTCTGAGGGGATCTGTGGCGGTTCTTTTTATCTACCTAAGACACTTTCGAAACTCCCAGAATTTACTTTTTTCGGCATACTATTTAGTATACCAAGCACAAAACCAACTATTTATTATGCCATGCCAAAACAAACATTAAAATTTTCTCTCGTTCTCCCGTGAGGTGACGTTATATTGTGTATAATTTGCAAGTGCAGCAGGCAGCCTAAATTTTGTTTGTTTTCTTGCTGGAATGAGCTTTCCCAGCGTTCCTTTCATATCAAATTTATTGTAACCTGTCGTGAACAAGCTGCACTGTCCCATATTACAACATTTCACGCCACATTTTCGCTGTTGCCAGTGGAACCCTTTCAGACGAAATTTCAAAATTCAATACCTTCGCGAAAAAAATTATATTATTGTCTTTTAATTTGGCTTCTAAGTTGAAATGTATCCATTCAGTTGTTGAACTAATCTCGAGGCAAGTCAGTGGCTACCAATAGTTCTTCGAAGAAGTTCTTCTTTATGCTTCAATATCACGCTGTGCGGATTATCTACAGGTGCGGACTATACAGGATTCTATTTTTACAAGATGCTTTATTTGGAAGAGATGTGACGGATTTTGTGAATGAACGACTATGTTAATGATGAGTTACTACGATAGAAAATCAAATGAAATCGAAACCAAAAACAGTGCTACATACAACCGACGGGTAGTATCCTACCCGTCAATTGTGTGTGTGTGTGTGGGGGGGGGGGGGGGGAGGGGGGGGCGTGGGGGGGCGTCACGTAAGGCATACGCATGCTTCCCAAGGCAAGAGCCAACCTCCCTCAACCCCTTCCCCCTGTCCCGCATAGCTGCTTCCTCAGGAGTAAATCCATTAAGCAAATCCCGGGCCCTTAACTGGGCTTTTTCGGCGCACGTCACAAATTCGCGTGAAAGTGTGTTTAGCGCGTACACAGATGCCGCTTCGAGAAATTTGGGGCTTTTTGTATTGGCCGCTTGTTTGGGTGGGCTGCTTGCGACCCTTTCACAGTGTTGTCGGTAACGCGTTACAAGTAACGGCGTTACCAGTTAACGCGCAACTTTTTTCGGCAGCGTACTGGCTACATTTTTAAACACAGTAACGGGTAACCTACTTTCGTTATTTATATTAAGTAACGGTTAACGCACTTACGTTCCTGGGTAATTCCTCTTCCCAACGCTTAAAAGAATTACGCTTCAATTTTTTGTGTTCTGCGGCGCCACAAATATCTGATATTTTTCCGTTTGCTTTTGCGTCTTTTTTAGCATTTAGGTGAAGCCATAAAAAAAATATAAAGTACTTGCGTTCAGTTTTTGCATGAACATAATGCCTCTTGAAATATGGCGCTTATGAATATTTGTACTGTCAAATAAGTAGAACGTGTTATTTTATAACTAACAAAGTAACGTAAATGTAACGTTCGTTACTTTTATCGGTAACGGTTACGCGTCCCTTTTATCTGCAAATAACAAGTAATATATTTCGTTACTTTATTTCCGGTAACGCCTACAAAACTTCCCTATCAGAAACCGACCTCATTATATTTATGTTTTGCTTCCACGCGCGGATTAGTCCCGAAACGCTTTCAGCACTCTACGATGCATTGTTCGGGGTTTATATTCCTCGCCAAAACTAGTGTCCTCCTTCACTTTACAACCAAATATTTATCGCCAGGGGCTCCCCATCATGCCGTTTCGTAATGTGCCGTCGCGCACTGTCGCCGTGCAGCGGCGTGAACGAAGGAGGTCGGGTGGCTTAACACGCACCCCCGTGATGCAACACCCCGCCGTCCGCCACTGCACCTCCAAAATGGCGACCCAGGGCGACTCCGCCGCCGCCGACCTCGGTTAGAGCTGCCTTCTTATCTCAAGCAACAAACAACAAGTGCGGAAGGGTCACTGTCGTTCCAGCTTGCGAAAGAGCGGGACGCTCAAATAGACTAATCAGGGCCCTAGATTTGCTCCATGGTTTTACTCCGTGAGCAAACGGCAAAGCCAGTGACCAAAGCGCCCGGTGCGCATGCACAATTGGCCCTCTCCCCCCCCTCTTTTACAACGCCTACACACACACAAAACAAGCGGCAAATATGCCCCCCGTTCTCATCACTCAGGAAGCCCATACAAAAAGAATTTTTAACAAAGAACAAAAAAAGAAAACATTAATGAGACAAGCCAGACATCAAAAATGCGGAACGATGAATAAGCACTGCATAAAAAGGACGAAATCTAAGGAAACGAAAATCAGACAGTCACCCATGAAGCAGTTAAACAATATACAGCCGCAGCCAAATCTACAGGGTGCGGCTGAATAGACAGAGTGCATCAGTAAGGACTTACAGGTTTGGCACACCTTGCAAACTTCGAATTTCAAATATACATACTTGAAATTGGGCAGGCGAATGTAGTTTCGCAGGAAGTTTTGTTCATTTTGTAGAGCTCAACTCTGACGCAGTAAAATATTAGAAATAAAGCAAACTCGAAGGCCGCTTATTTCTTAAATTTTATACCAGCACGTTTGTTGTCTGCACACTGGTGCACAGGCTGGCGATGAGCCAAAAACGCTAAAATCTAAAAGCAGAGGCTGGCGATGAGCCAAAATATTGCGACAATTAATACCTTTAACGAAATGTATGAACAATGACCAAATGGAAGCAGGCTCATAAACCCGTGTGTAGTCGACGCACATCCGGGATAGGGCATAGAAAATGCATGTCCACTATTTTTGCTCTATTTTTCACATGTTACCCCCTCTGTCTTGAGCTCTGAAAAAACAGTAAATAAAAAGTCTTGCAAACCTACATTCACGTGTCCAATTTCAGATATGTACGTTTGGAATTCAAATTTTGCAAGGCGCGCCAAATGCTTTAGTCTTTACGGACGCACCCCGGACGTATGCACTTCTTTAAAATTGCGTAAACATGGCAAGAAAGTAGCACCAGGCTTAAATAATCGGGCATAAAAAAAGACAGCAGCTCTTTTGTTTGTTAATAAAGCAGGCATTTGTCAAGGTGTGGTCTGAGTTACAATTTTTTTTTTTTTCTGTGAGGACAAGCCTTTATGCGGACTAAGCGCTAAGTGCCAGCTACCTACGCAAAAACAAAACATTCAAAAAAACTTTTTTGGCTCAATTTTACGTTTAGAGACTATACCACGGGCGCGAACACTAACAAATGTCGGTTCCTAATAGTAAGTGCACCGATATAGTGTCCGAAATGGCTGGTTGCGAACGGTTTAGTAGCCGTATAGCACTGGCCACAAGGTTCTTTGAGACTAAAGTTTTCTTCTTTTTTTTTCATGTAGAAAAATGTTTTTGTGTGTGTGTGTGCGTGTTCGTGTGCTTGTGTGTGTGTGTGTGTGTGTTTGGACCACAAAAGCGTCAGCCGCATACATTGAACCCAACGTACCCAGTCGGGGACGAAACCGATGCCTATAGTAGGCACTCCAGCGAAGAAGTTAAATGGGGCATTGTCCGACGCTCCGTGGCAGGCCATTGGTCTGTCCGAACAAAACAAAAAGGAATACGTGAGACAGAATATTGTCCGAACAATGCAAAAACTCGTAACAAGGTGAAATTACGGCCAAAGTTTCCGTTGGCCGAGTGCATTAGAGCAACGCGGTTGGGAGCCCTTACACCACGGTCCCATTTCTCGTATATCATACATAAAACATGGCGTTCAATGCAAACATGCCGGCAGAATCATCAGCTGACACGCCTCAAGTATTTTCGAAACATGTTTGCCTGGTACACCTGATAGATGCAAACATGTCTGCAAAGAGTTTTTGCGTGACCGATATGACAGGACCGTCGTATAGACCAACTCAACATACTGACGTCACGCCATTGCGATGGCACTGCTGCCGGCACTGCTCATGCGCAAACGCTTCACTCCACCCTAATTTGGTTTCTGCGCACGCGCAGTACCCACACCTGGTGTGGGCATAGCGGGTTTGCTTGGAAACACTGGGTTGTTGTTTATTGAAAACTAGGTGGCGCAAGCTGCCGCCCGTTACAAAGGGTATAGCCATTACCGTACATCCGAAGAGACGAGCCTCAAACAGTGTTTAAAGATTTCCTTTTGTATGATGCATTGGCGGTGTGACCGCGAGTTTTTCAACCAAAGTTTTCCTAAATATTCTGTGTTCAATCTAAATCCAGCAGGCTACTATATAAATCGGCAGGATTGGTAGCCGTGATTACGCAATGCTAGTCATTGTTACTATTGTTTACGTGCTAATCTTTGTTACTAAGTTCATAAATTATCAGCCAACAGTAATGACGCGAGTCCCTCTATTTTAAAAACGACTGGCATAATATTCTTCGGAGACACTAAGATTGTCATGGTCCTCACTCGAGGCTGTTATTAAAAAAGTGAAAGCCGTTTACAAATCCCTGTAACGCCGAATTGGAGCGCAGCTCTTGAGGAGGAGGAGTGAAGGGTACTGAGGGGAGGGTAGACCCCTCCTCCTCCCCTCATTCTTTAATATGCTCCGGGGGGGCGGTCACGTGACCTCGGGGGGAGGTGTCACGTGACTTCGGGGAGGGGGGGTCACGTGACCTCGGGGGGGTCACGTGACCTCAGAGGGGTCACGTGACCTCAGAGGGGTCACGTGACCTGGGGGTCACGTGGGGGTCACCTTGAGGTCACGTGACCTTGAGATGACCTTGGGGAGGAGACCACGTGACCTCGGGGGTCACGTGACCTCAGAGGGGTCACGTGACTTGGGGGTCACGTGACCTTCAAAGGGTCACGTGGGGTCTTGGGGTCACGTGACCTTGAGATGACCTTGGGAGGGGTCACGTGACCTTGGGAGTCACGTGGGGTCACGTGACCTTGAGATGACCTTGGGAGGGGTCACGTGACCTGGAGGGGTCACGTGACCTTGGGGGTCACGTGACCTTGGGATGACCTTGGTTACGCCGACGGCGACGGCGACGGCGACGGCGACGCCGCTCAAGCCGGGAACGGGCCCCTAAGAGCTGCGCTCTAAAATATTAAGTAGACTCCCCGCGTAAATGCATTTCTACGAGGAGTTGAGGCTAACCGGTGGCGGATGGACGTCGCCAGGACTTACTCGGGGTCTTCGGTAGAGTTGCTGCCTTCATTCACGTACGACTTCCATAGGTCAAATAACGTCTGGTGGGATCCGGGCTTTGTAAGATCCGGAACCTGGAGACACGTTACAATGGTCACCCTCAGAGGCGTCATCACGAAGAACGAGCATGTATGGTGACAAGCAAACTCTAAAGGTGAAACGAGAGATAAAAGGAAGGGGTAAAAGCTACACGCAAAACTCTGAATGCTACTTTCCGAACGAACGCCTTTTGTCAGTCAGAGAAACACGGACTGTGTTCATTGTTTTTCTTTTCGGATAATGTAGAAGGTGTCCCTCCCCCCTCCCCCCTCCCCCCCCCCCCCCCTCCACCACCCCCCAAAAAAATGTAAGGATTTGTTTTTCGCCGAGAAAATAAACTACACATTGCCAAACGCTTATTCTACGCCTAAATATAGAGCCAGCGGTCCGCACCAGATGCCGAAATTTCGGGACTAACCGTTTTTTACTCAAAAGTTATAAGGAATTTTCTAAAATTTTCAAAGAGCAAACGGTGACCGATTGAGCACTGAACACACGAAGCTCAAAGGCGTCATTTACCGAAAATGGGCTAAAACAAGCCCAATTTTCCAATTAATTTCTTTAGTCAGTGATAGCCATTGAATAATATAACGTTTCGTTCCGAAAGTTTGGTATCTGCTCCCAACATCTAGCACTACACTTGGGTAAAAAAATTGCGTTTGGCAATGAGTAGTTATTAACACGAATAAAACAAACAGTATAATATATATAGTTTTCGGGGGGGGGAGGGGGGGGGGGGCGAGGGGGGGGTAGAAAAGGAAAATAGGATAAAAACAGCACTCTGTTTCTTTTTTCCATAATGGCAAGTGTAAGTTATAACTTACAAGCAATTGTCCCATTTCTTACTCATTTGTCTTTTGTGTAAATGATGCTAAAACCTAAAATAAAAAGAAATAAAAAAAATCCCTTGAATACAAACAACTACAATCAGCAAAATACCTGTTGCTCTAAAATGTGCTCAAAGAGCCAACCAGTGCTGGGGAGTTCGCGCTTCATGTGAGCATCTGAATCGCCATGGTCACTGTCCCATCAAACGCCTAAGCTTAGTTCTATTCATGGAGGATTATCCGAGTTGTTTATTCATGAATGGTTCTTGTGTGCTTTAGATTGAACGACTTGGCTATTCAGCAGGTTTGGTTCTTGGTTCAGCGCGAATGGTTCTTGTGCGCTGCAAACTACAAGTACTTGTTCTATAGAGTATGGTTAATCAGAGCTTAACAAGCTCGGGATGCGACTAGTTAGCAGCAACTTATTATAGCTCCCCTGTATGTATTGAATGCGGCATCAGACGATAAGAATAACAAAAAACAAATCGTCAAGTAAAAACAAAAAACGTGTCGTGACTCTACATAACCATGCCGTTTACAAACAAGCCCGCGCTTGCCTACCCATGATGTGGCCATTGCACGAGCGCAGTGCCGATAGCAGCGCCACCGTAGTGACGTAACGTCAGAAAGTTAAGTTAGTGTATAGGCAAGTTTGAGGCCACGACGTTCATGCCTGAACCCTTCATGGCCTGCAGAGATTGACCCTTTGAAATCGCCCTACCTGTCACTTAACGCAAGCTATTTTTAAAGTATGAAATGCTTTTTACGGCTACCCTCATCACAAAAACTTTTGTTCGTCCGTTCGTCAGTTTCCCGCTAAATTTAGCGGGGAAATTTATGTCACGTGACCTGACGCTACGGGACCTACAACTGAATTCAGTTTCCCCGCTAAATTTAGCGGGAAAATGTACGTCATATGACCTATGCAACAATTCAGTTGCCCCGCTAAATTTGGCGGGGAGATTGATGTTACGTAACCTGACGTCACGTGAATAATACAGCAAGAGTCCCCGCTAAATTTGTCGGGACATTTGACGTCACCTGACCTTTACTTTTCATATACAGGATGTCCCCCCCCCCCCCCCCCCCCCCCCCCAAAATGTTTAGGCTTTCTTTTTAACAGCAAATATCAACTACGCGCCGCCGAATGCTCTTTCTCCGCCCAAAGGTAACGCTAGAAGACCGAGCGAGATGCCGAAGTTTCAGCACGAACCGATATATCATTCAAAAATTATAATTAATACTGTAAAACCCTTTATTTTCGAGGCCCCTATTTTTCGCAAATCGATCACAAAGGACAATAATTGCGGCTACTAGATTTCGAAAATTCCAGTCATCTGCATTGAAACACTTAAGGACCGAAATTTTCACGTGTCCTTAAATTTCCCGAATTTTTCAATTCGCGAAATTCGCGAAAATTAAGGGCTCGCAAACATTAAGGGTTTTACAGTATTCTGAAAATTTAATTGGGCAAATTGCGGCCAAAGGAGCTCTCAAATACATGGCGCAACATATGATGCCAGAAACCGAAAACGAACGAAAATGAGCAACATTTTCGCTTTGGAATATTCAGAAAATCGCATATAACATTTATCAGTTCGCGCTGAAACATTGGCACCTTTCTTGGACCTCAGCGCTATGTTTTCGACGGAGAATGAGCGAGTTTATGATTGCAGTTACAAAAATCTAGCAAATTTGTTTTGCGGGGAAACCGTGTATATGCATTAATGCCACGTGATATGTACTTTACAAGGCTCTATATAGTCTCCTAAAAAAAATTGAAATAGTCACTTCTTAGATACAGGTGCATATCAGGCATTGTCGGACTTTGATTTGAAAATCGCTGGCAACTTTGTTGTCTTCTGTGATGTGGGGTTTTAGTAAAAGTAAGCATAAAAAACGCAGAGCGTAATGCTTTCTGATTGACCCTTCAGCATTCTTGTCATCTAATGCCCAGACTTGTGCGTAATTACTTATAAGTAACCAATTATTTATAATCAATTACATTTTATTCTAACTTTTTAACGCTTTAATTACTTTTTTCTGCGATGACGTTCGGTTCAATTCACTTACTATTTTTCTATAGCCCCTTACAAGTAACCTATTACATGTTTCCGAAACAGCAAAAATTCTTAAATTTAGTTTTTTTAGGGGTGGGCAATTGATCAATTAACCTACCGATTAATTTATTTTTAGTTTTATGTTTTAATCACGATTAATATTATTTAACCGGTTAATTGGTTAAATATTGACAAACAAAAAAAGAAGAAAAATTAAGCGTTGTAACCACACAGACGCTGACGTTTACACCTTGATGAAGGCTAACTTCAAGTGTGATTTTGACCTAAAGTAAACAGGTAGGGGCGAGATTTCAAACTCCAAAGAAGTGGAGAAGGTTATACGTGGTCCAGCCACTTCAACGCCGTGCGAATATCCGCTTAGCGCACAGGGACTGTTGTGAACAATCGAAGGTGTCGATTAATGCCAGAGAATGTCAACAAACCTATTAGCCTCTGCAGCTAAGTAATAATTTGCGAGTATGGGTGTTTTTTTGCTGTTCTCAACTACACATCAAGGTTGATATGAAATCCGAGATTGTACATTGCGCCGTTTATCACGTAATCACCAAAGACAAAGTGATAGTAACCTTTTTAAACTATTATCCGTGGGGATGAACGAAACCGATTAATCAATTAATTAATCTAACAAGGGGTGCCAATTAATCGGGTCCAAATTTTTAATTGACAACCAGCCCTATTCTTTAACGTAAGATATTTTTCTGCATGCTCGTACGTCACTCGTCTATGTTGCACCAATGTTGGACACTTTTTTTACCCTTGAACAACTAAAAAAACATACCAAGATACCAAAAGGATTCGAATGTGATCAAAGTGCTCATCGACGTCTTGACTGTCGAGCGGTCGAGAGTGCCTCGCTTCCTGTTTACGGGTTGTTACAATCCGGGTTTACCGAGGTATTACAACCGTGTTCTACACTGACCTCATCTAGCCACGATAAAGACAGCGATCCTTCCTCCCCCCTCCCCCTCCCCCCCCTTCCCCTTCATTCCATCTCGAAAGAGTTCATCACAACGTGCTCGAACAGAACGTACTAAAAACAGAAAGTTATCTTATCTACGATTTGCTTGTTGTTACTAGCCAGGGTTTTTTACTAGTCCAGCATGTGGCTGTTTATTTATCCTTCTCTCTGTATCTCTCTCTTCCACGGTCGGTCTCTATTACTGAAGGAAGTTACGAATTCTGTTAGCAATAGCTTATTTTGTTCTCAATGCGCCCACGAAGAATGTCACGTGCTTCCTCTGGAGATATAAAATGGAAAACCTTCGCTATATATTTATTTATTTACTTATTTATTTATTTGCTTTCCTCTCAAGGCCTGAAGGCATTACAGAGGGGGAGAGCAAAGTTGGGATCAGAACAATATACACTTATTCACACTCAACAGAAAAATGATTGGTTAGAACAGATCCAAAAAGTGCAGTGTCTTCGATGAATGCAATGGGTCTGGGAAGTTGGTTCCAGTCGAGGTATGTGCGAAGAAGAAGGAAAGAAGGATGAAGTGTAGCGATAGATACCTCAACTTCGTGTTGATGATCATGACGAGCAGAAATATAAAGAAGACGGGTGATTAATTCGTCGCGAAGCACAAGGTTATAACATTACATTTTGGGAAATAAAGATATAGGCTGAAAGCTAATGTCACACGAAAAGGGGGCAGGAGTAACAAAGCTGATTTTATAGAAGTGACGCTAGATGTATCATGATAATTATAAAGAATAAAATGATCGGATCTATTTTGAATGGCTTCCAACGCGATGGTGAAAGTGGCTTGTCCGGGATTCCAGACAGAAGCTGCATATTCTAACTTCGGTTGAACTAGAGTTTGATAAAAAAAATTAGCTTGAGAAAAACCAATGCTAATGGAACGTTACGCCTGACGTATCCTAACATACGATTAGCATTAGAGGTGATATGCTGTACATGGGTTTTTTCATGAGAGGTTAGAAGTTATAGGTACACCTTAATATTTGTAAGAGTATACCGTGTCCAGCTGAGCCTGATTAAAAATATAGTTGTAAGTTTAATGTGACTGGCGAGATACACGCATTGACTTTCATTGGTTAGTGTTAAAAATCATAGACCACACGTCACACCACTGATAGATTGCATTAATTTCAGACTAAAGCATGCTGTTATCATTATCATTAAGTATCTCACGGTAAGTCACTCAGTCGTCAGCAAGTAAACAAATACACGACGAAATATTAAGAGTGAGGTCGTTAAGATATATTAAAAAAAGCAAAGGTACTAAAACAGATATTTGGGAACCCCAGAGGCTACAGACGAAAAGGAAGAGTTACTATTATTGACCTTACCAAATTGTGACCGCAATGATAGACAAGATTGAATCCATGCAAGAACATTAGCATCTACGTTATGCTTGGACAGTTTCAGAAGTACTTTATGAGATACCTTATCGAACACTTTGGAGAAATCTAGGAGAATGCACTGTGGGCCTGGGATCATCATTACAGGATTCCGTGAAGGTCATGAGTGTCATGAGATACAAGCTGTGTCTTGCATGAAAATGTTTATCGAAATCCATGCTGGGATGGGCAGAAGAAGTTGTGAAATTCTAAGAAATTGACAAGGTTGGAAAATATGATATGCTCCGGGAGTTTGCAAGGAGCACCGGTTATAGAGATTAGGTGATAATTTAGAGAGGAATGTTTGTCACCAGTCTTGTAAATGGAAACCACTTTCCCCACCTTCCAATCTAAAAGAAAAATATGATCTCTGATGGACTGATCAAAAAGTTTAGTTAGAGTAATAGAAGAGGAATGCTTAGTATTATTCAAAAACTTCGAATTAACACCGTCCACTCCCGCCGAAGGTGACAATCTTAGTGTTCCTATGACGTGATTGACATCAGCACAATCATTCAAAATTGGGTTCATCGGCAAATCATCTGAAATATCTAAAAGGGGACACTCCTTGCTGCTACCACTGGAAAATGATTCTACAAAATCTTTGTTTAGTGCATTCGCACACTCTTCAGAGGGCATAGTACCACCATTTTCGTTTTTTACAAGAAAAATCTGTTTTTCTGTTGCTGATGTTTTAGAACTTTTAGCATTCTTGACTAACATATCGGGTAGGGTGCGCGTGAGAAAACTCCAGCATGGCCTTATTAATTGCTTCTTTATATGTCTCAGTTGCAGTGCGGTATTTGGATCACCGCCGTTCACATGAGGTAAATTTGTTCGCTCTAAATAAACGCTTCTTTTTATTTGAGAAACGTTTGAGGGCTCCGTTAAACCACGGAGACTGGGAATTTTCGAGTACAGCCCTAAGGGAAATATACAGGTTAGTAAGTGATTCTAGTTTATCCTTCAACATTTGCCAATTCTCTTCCACTGAACAGTTTGAGAATCCTTCTAGAAATATATCAATAGAAGTTGCTAGATCCTTGTCAATTTTGACGAGGTCAGCTTTAACATTATATCGATTTTGGTGTACCTGACAGGATGATATTGTCACTGTAGCTTTAACATAAAAATTTAATATGCAATGATCATTGATCCCTGGAAAATATGATATGGGGAAAATAAGTGAAGGTGATTCGACAGGACGGGATCAAATATGTTTGCGGACAACGGGGTCACTCTGGTTGGTTGAGTGACCAACTGAGTGAGAGTAAAATTGAAACAAAGGTTGAAAAAGTAATTCCATTCCGATGATGATGCAATTCTGAATAGATTACACTCTGTCCACACAATAAAAGGAAAATTAAGTCACCCAAAAGAAGGATCGACGAAGTGGGAAAACACAATTCTACGTTGTTTAAAGAGTCATGCAAACCTTTAACAAAAAAGTGAAAGCCGTTTACCACTCCCTGTAACGCCGAATCGGAGCGCAGCTCTTGAGGAGGAGGAGGGGAGGGTACTGAGGGCCACGTGTTCTCGGGGGGGGGGGGGGGGGTCACGTGCCCCCTCAGAGGTCACGTGACCTCGGGAGGGGGTCACGTGACTCCCCAGGTCACGTGACCCCCGGGTCACGTGACCAAAACTTTTCCGCTAGATTTAGCGGGGAAATTTTTTCCGCTAGATTTAGCGGGGAAAGTTTTCCGCTAGATTTAGCGGGGAAATTTTTTCCGCTAGATTTAGCGGGGAAATTTTTTCCGCTAGATTTAGCGGGGAAATTTTCCCGCTAGATTTAGCGGGGAAATTTTTTCCGCTAGATTTAGCGGGGAAAGTTTTCCGCTAGATTTAGTGGGGAAATTTTTTCCGCTACATTTAGCGGGGAAATTTTTTCCGCTAGGATTTAGCGGGGAAAGTTTTCCGCTAGATTTAGCGGGAAAATTTTTTCCGCAAGATTTGACGGGGAAATTTCCCCGCTAAATCTAGCGGAAAAAATTTCCCCGCTAGATTTAGCGGGGAAATTTACCCATAATGCACCGCGCGGTTACGCCGACGGCGACGGCGACGCCGCTTAAGCCGGAAACGGGCCCCTAAGAGCTGCGCTCTAAAAGAAATGATCATGACGGTGGTCTATAGCATACTCCCATAATCCACCTGTTATGGCGAGAACCTATACAGACCCAAAGTATTTCTAAATTACTTGTCACGTTAATGCAAAACGATTGAACATGATTATTCACTGCAATCAAAACACCCACCGCAACTGTCTTGCATGTCATTTCTGTAAGTGTAATTTTAGAGCTCAGCTCTTAGGGGGCCCGTTTCCGGCTTGAGCGGCGTCGGCGTCGCCGTCGGCGTAACCGCGAGGTCACGTGACACCCCGAGGTCACGTGACCCCCCAGGTCACGTGACCCCCTGAAGTCACGTGACCTCAAGGAGTCACCTATCCCTCAGTATGCTTCCATCTTCCTCCTCAAGAGCTGCGCTCTAACCGGCGCTACAGGGAATTGTAAACGGCTTTCATTTTTTTCTTAGGGGAACAAAAATCTTCACAGTCACGCACTTTCCCAGATAGCCAAGTTTCAGTTAAGGCAATAACATCCGCATCAGTCGAGTTAATAACTAAACAAAAGTCGTCTCGTTTTCTAATAATGCTTCTGATATTAGGAAAAAAACAGCGGCGACAGATTTGAGGCAGGATAATGAAATACTCTTCCCCTGGCTGTCTGCGATTCCGAATTCAACGTTCAAGGAGGGTCCGCAGCAGAAGGCAAACTTTGGGTCTCGGAAACCCCATCTGAGACGGAGGGACACCAAGCAGGTTGTCATTAACCAGCATTAACCAGCAGGTTGTCATTAACAGAATCGTAAACATAACATTTCTTATAAATGTACATTCCATGGTGTCGAAGCTTAAAAATGGTCTGTTTTGCTTTCGCAAATTCTATTAACTATTTCCGTGCTTGACGTGTTCCACGTGAGAAGTCCTTATTCACGTAAATGCGAATAAATTTAAACGATAGTCTGAACTGTAGAATTCGGTCTTTTAGTTTCTACAACGCAAATTTAACAATGAGGGGTCCACATTTATCACGACAAAAAGTACCGATCCTATACGCACAATTAATGGCTCCATGAGTCACTTGAAGTTTCAACGTCTGCCTAAATAGGTTCAATATAGTCTCCTCCGTTTGTGCCCAAGTTTCAGATAAGTTGTCCGATATCCCGTAATAAACTAGGTTATCACGATGAGAGCCGTCTTCCGCCTTGTCTAGACGTACTCGGCTAGACTAGAAGATTCTTCGCTATTTCCTACTAATTTGTTCAAATGTAACCATATGAACATATGTATGCATTTTTTATTTCGTAACAAAAGCAAAAAAGTAACGTGAAAATTAATCAATAACTTTCTGGTAAATTTTTAATTACTTTTATGATACAGTAATTGACGACTGTTATCAGTTACATTATCAAAAAGTAAGTGTAATTGTAATCGGTTACTTTACTTCAGTAACGCATACAATCCTGCTCATGCCCCAAACTCATTGGCTACGGAGCGATGGCTAGCGGAAACCTAATGTACAGGGTGTGATCGAGGAAAGTAAACGCGGTTATTCTGTCCGTAAAAATGAACTACGCATCGCATAAAGCCGAAACTGAGTGGGAACTTATGGCTATAGCGGTGGTGACAATTTGCGAAAGTTTGAGAGCATGACGTAACCCGGATCAAAAGCCACGAGAGAAAAACAAAATTTCTCTATGAGCCAACGTTCACCTAAGCTTAGCTAATATTCATTGAGAAAACAAAAATTACGTTGTGGGCGTAATTGCTTAAGAAGGCCCCCGTGGCTACCACGAGGGCAACCCACATGGGTTGCCCTCGTGGTACCCGCGGGGGGCCTCCTTAAGCAGCCCACTTAGGCTTCTGTCGAGGGATCTAGGACAAAGTGGGCTCTGCAATGGTCGGCCCCCGCGGTACCCACAGTGGCCGACGAATTTCCCACTTGGGTAGCCCACGAAGAGGCACGCTGATTAGTTAGTTACTAATAAATTTAGCAATTCTAAAATTTCTCGCTCACGATTAAAATTACAATTATTGGTGATTTAGTATAAAAATAAGCCGATCTCCAATGTTGAATTTCCAGAACGTGCAATAAAAAGTCTCTATATAGGCGGAAAGTGCCGTTTTGGGAGTTGCACAAGTAGTCCGAGTTAAGCATGCCTACTCTTTGCCGCCTTGAAGCCCACACTGTTTCTAACTTGGCCCCCGCGGAGCCAATATGGGACCCACCGGGGTTTTAAATGGACAGCCCAAGTCAGGCGTGCCCACGTTCTGCCCCCATCTTCGCTAACTCTGCCCCCGCATTTGCGATGTGGGACGCGTAGAAGTATGGGATGGGCAGCCCATATTGGGGCATGCCAATGCTTCTCCCACGTGAGACCAATGTGCTTTCTTAAAGGCTGCCCGAGCCCCCATTGGCCACGGGGGCCCCACCCCTGGTGCCACCTGGGGTCGTTTATTTATGCGGGCCAAAACACCGGGTTTTAATTTTTCCATCCATCTCTGAAGGCACTTACGAGGTGTGCTGCTGCCTGGACGGCTGACGCAAAGGTAGGGGAGGACGTCGGTGCGAACGCGAGACCTGTAATACCACAGATACAAATTGTTTTGCCTTTCTTTTTTGTGTTTTAATTTTCGAGGTTTCAAAACTTTTGGTACAAGATCCAATATTAAGAGGATTTACTCACCTGATGCACACTGATCTACGTCAATGTATCCTACGGCGTGAGCCTGCAGATCGATGATGTGCTCCTGTGTCAAGACAGACAAAAGAATGCCATATGGAACGAGGTAGTTGAGGCCGAAGTCTAACCGGAATGCAGTCACTTCATAAAACATAGACCGCAAAAGGCAAATTTAACGAACTACTTTCCCCGTGTTAATAGTTTTGTTGAACGAGTAGCGTTTGCTGAATAGATACGTGATAAGAACAGGCAGTTTAAAGAAAACCATCAACCATTGTCCACTTTTTTATTATTTTTTTTTTAATCGAAAGGATCCCGTCAAAACTACTATAATACGTTTCAGCTAAAATCCCGACGCAGCCAAGTGTTTTTCACCTTCAGAACTGTAGTAAAATAGGTCCGGCTCCTCCCGGAATATTACTAATTTCCCCTTTATGTGTAGAATTACGGTGTATATGGATTCGTTTCTGATTAGGCCTATGTGATCTTACTAGAGAGACACTCGCACCCCCCGAGAAATTCTTTTTTGCCAGTGGATTCATTATTGTGTCACAAGACTACGTAATCAATATTTTTCTACAGCGTCACGTATAAATTTAATAAAGTCAAAATACGCAACTGCTCGATGCCGACGCCGAAGCTGGACCAGGGAGGAGGAAAAGAATATAGAGGCTGAGAAGGTTACCGAAAGTCACGTGGCTGTGCAACTTTTTTTTTTTTCAACGTTATCTGCACCTTTTTTAGAAGACACAGAAATAGGTGTCACATTTTTTGTCTAATTTTAGTATTGAGTCTGTGCCTTCGATGACCCACGACTTTGATTATCTTTAGTGGTTCTATCTAAACCATAGAAAACGAAACGTAACCAGATAGAAGAGAGTCAGCGTGACTCAAACACGCGAGTCATCGATCGGCGGCTTTCGGGTGGAAAGAACACGAATTTCGAGCCGCAGATAGTGTTTTGGGTAGTTGGGCTCTAATATTATATGTCATGTACGATTGAAAACCTTGACCAGTAAAAAAATATTCTCTCAGTGTCCCTTTGAAACGTACACGTAGCAAACTACAACAGCGTTATTCTTTCTTTGTTGTCTCGATATTATTTTTAGTGTCATAAACGGTATTTCTCGTAGGTTGGTAAGTACATTTTATCTAAACAATTCTGCAAAAGAACTTTCTTTATACTGAAATTAGGTTCCAGGGACCCCTCATAGATGCCGCCAGCGTGTTTTCTCGTCGCAAGCTTTCACAAAAACTCGGCCGTATAGGCAGAGTATGTCAAAAGAGCCTTTAAAGTGGACCAGAGTAGTGTTTGTTTAATCGACCCCGTGCGACCTACCTCGACCCACTCGGTGGAGCCGATCAGACCGTACTCGCCGGCAGCCCAGCTGCAGAGCAGCACGGTGCGTCTGGGGCGTACGTTCTTGCTCTTCAGCTGTCCGAGGACCCTGGCCAGCTCCAGGAGGGCCGCAGTTCCCGAGGACGGACTGGAGGCACCGTAGCCCCACGCGTCTCGGTGGTTGCCCGTGATCACAACCCTGTCTGCGGTTGGTCGGGTGCCGGCGGCTTGCATTAGTGCTCTTCAATTGACGGGAGATCATTCTTGAACCATCCATCTCAATGTGCAAGGATTCCCAATCTTAATGCTTGGACTCTAAAGCCGGCGTCACACTGCTCATACGTCATACAAGAAAAGACGGTGTGTATACAGCTTCGAACGCGAATCGCTACGAGATTCGTGCTTCGAATGCCGCGTGGCAAAGTGTTCGAGCAGAAGCTCGGGCACGTGGCGTTCGAACCACGAATATTTCAGGTGACTCGTGTGGGCTGACTGTCTTTTGTATGGTGTGTATGAGCAGTGTGACCTCAGCTTTAAAACAGCTGTCACACTGCTCATACATAATATACGAAAGACAGAGATAAGACACTGTTTGAGACGTGTTTTTCTATGTGTGACGGCCTTGCGACACCTCTGATGCAAAAATCTTCTCTAAAGATGTTAGAATCGTACAAATGTAAGATCCAAACGTACTTCAAGGATGCTGTAGGCGTGTACGGAGGTACTCCTGTCGTCATGTTTGCAGCGAACACCGTGCCTCTTGGATGATGTATGATCACTGTGGCCGAGGCTTTAGGTGGCAGTAACCATTAACACTCTTCCCAAAAAAAAGTGAAGAACACAGTCATTTCGCTCTTTCTGCGGTGTACGATTTGCTCCGTTGGATCCTAGCGATATTTGCTCTCCGACGTACGGTGCCACGGGGCCGACAGTTCTTTTTTTTTTTTTAGTTCTAAAGATATTTTATCTTTGGTCATTTGCCCAGCATCCTCCCTAGATGACAGCAATTGACTCGTCCAAGTGCTTTCCGCGAAAGTAAAGGCTCCGGATTGCTTAGTTTGTGTCTATACGCGCAGAAAGCGGAGCCAAAGGCACGCAACTGGATGACAACTAGAAGTGTTAATATAAAATGAGCACGTTCGTACTAGTAACTTGAACCTAGGCGTATTGAAGCGCCGAAACAGATTTCATGGCGGAATATTGTGATGTACGCTTTTGTGAATATTCATCGAGCATTACCTACCGACTAGTCATTGTCTGAAACTAACGCGATAAATATATTAGTACAAGACATCTAGTTATTTAGAACACATTTATTTCTAAATCATTTTTAATTGATTTTTGTCGATGTGGTCGCAAAATACCAATATATATATTTGAAAAAGCCACCTCTGAGTGCCATGTTGGATTTTTTTTTTTTTTATTATTCAACGAAGCCGTTGGTTTACGGGTATTTTAGACAGATATATGCGTCAGAATCACTCGCTTAGAACAACAGGAGAAATCACGTGCACGTTCCAGCCACGCTTCGCTCTTGATGACATTGTAGGTAATATTCCACGCTCTTTGCAAATGCAATCCGCATAACGCCAGTAAACGGTCGTGTTTGCTACTAATCACCGCTTTATTAAAAACGATTTCATGTTTTGTTCGTTTTTTTTTCATTGACCCTTTATTATATTAGTTTTATTTTTTTATTAGAAAATTATTTTGAATGCTCGCGACACTAGTGCAAAAAAGCTTTGAAGTGTAAAGATCATCAAGGAAGCAAACTACGCCAAGTCAGTGGGCTTTTTCTGTACGCCCGTCTTTCGGTATTTCGCAAAAACAAGGCGACTGAGCATGATAGAAAGAAAGTTGACAGTCCATTAAACAAACAATTAAATTATAGCACTCAGAAGCATGATATCAGGACTTCTTCGGGCTACGTACATCGTCCACGAACGAAACACAGAGGCAAGAAGAAGGCAACACGTTAGTTTGAGCAGCAACTTTACCTGGTTCGACCGCTCCCTCGATACCACCGATCACGTTGTTGACGGTGACGACGCTGAAGAGATTGTTCACCCGCAGCCGGACGTACCTAGTGACGAATTAAGAAAAAAATTGTACGAAGTTGATTAGCATATGGGTAAGGTTTTGCAGGTGCACAACTGCAGACGATGAAAACAGTCCAATCTATAGGGTGTCCCAAGGAGGTTATCTGCTGTAAAATTAGCCGGGAAAATTGGCGCCCGTACATAGAAAGCTCGAACTGTCCCCGAATGTGCACTGAGCAGGTCAGTATTACCGTGTGAAATTTCAAGGCGTAGCCCTTTTAGAGCGCAGCTCTTAGGCGCCCGTTTCCGGCTTGAGCGGCGTCGCCGTCAACGTCGCCGTCGGCGTAACCAAGGTCACCCTAAGGTCACGTGACCCCCCAAGGTCACCCAAGGTCACGTGACCCCCGAGGGCACGTGACCCTTCCCAAGGTCACGTGACCCCCGAGGGCACGTGACCCCTCCCAAGGTCACGTGACCCCTCCCAAGGTCACGTGACCCCTCCTAAGGTCACCTCAAGGTCACGTGACCCCCTAGGTCATGTGACTCCCGAGGTCACGTGACCCTCTCCCCGAGGTCACGTGACCCCCCCCCTCCCCCCCCTGAAGTCACGCGACACCCCCCCCCCCCCCCCCCGAGGTCACGTGACCCCCTCCCCCCGAGGTCAGGTGACCCCCCCGGAGCATATTAAAGAATGAGGGGAGGAGGAGAAGGAGGAGGGGTCTATTCTCCCCTCAGTACCCTTCCCTCCTCCTCCTCAAGAGCTGCGCTTTAATTCGGCGTCACAGGGAGTTGTAAACGGCTTTCACTTTTTTTATGTAAGAACTAAGGAAAAAAACTTGCCAAGTTCAACTTTGGGAGCGCTCGCCAACGACCGAGCTAACGACGCTAATTACTTGTGGCGCCATCTCCCGATTGGCGCAGAGAGCAGACAACAATGTGCGTCGTCTGCGCGCTGCGCCTGTCGGGAGGTAACGCCACAAGTAATTAGCGTAACTAACTCCGTCTGTGACCACGCCCGATGACTTTGGCAGGTTTTTTGCTCTCATTTCTGACAGGAAGAGTACTACACCTTGAAATTTCGCAGAGTAAGACTGACTTGATCGGTGCGCATTCGATGAAAGTTTGAGCTTTCTATCTAGAGGCGCAGATTGTTCAGACCCGTTTTGCAGCGGAAGGCCCGCTTTGAGCACCCTATATGTTTTAGAAACTGACCCTGAGCACTAAACGAGTGGGATGAGCATTCACATGCACTTTTGAATGTTTTGCAGGTTACTATGGGCTTTTTTTCGTAAGCGCGCGGCGTCTAGTAGCTGCTTCGCCAGTTTATATACGAGTCCGCCCTTGTTTTGGCGCTCACTCTGAGCGTATATTGGACACTAGAGCTTCGTCAGTGTTTGGCGGCAGCTCAGCTCAGCTCATATAGAGACCGAGTGCTGTGTCAGCTTTCGGTGAGGGCTCACATCTAATTGCATCCTTCGTCCCCAAGAAATGGCGACCGCCAATTTTACTCAATGTTTTTTTTAATGCTCTGTTAGTTATTTTATATTCCTCGAAATTGTTTATGTAAGAACCTGGTTTGTTTGTTTATCGTTTCTCTTCTCACTGGTTCCAACGTGCACTTGACCCCCAGTTTCCCATTTCATTGTATCAATAGTCGCGGCCAGCTAGAGAAATGCAAGTTGTGGCAGAGTAGGACCTCTGTTCTTGCCGGGTACATGTACTTGCTGTTTTCTGTACGTGTTGTTTTCTTCCGTTCACGCTATGTTCTATATGCTACGGAATGTTTCTAACGCGCTCCAATAGTAGGTAAAGATACGTCATTCACACTTCTCCAATGAAACGTAGATGACGAGTGCAAGGACTCACTTGTCTGCGTGCTCGTCGGCGAATGGGCCGACACGGTAGGTCATGTTGAAACCACCTACGAACGACTGCGGAGCCAGAGGTCCCCCGAGCATGCTGGAAAAACATACATTCGTATCTTCAGAATAAAGAAAAATTGGGCGGCTTAGACATTTGCTTAAATGAAATGATTATGCAACAGCACTTGGTGGATTCACTTTTCAACGGGAAGCATTTTCTTATTGAAATTTAGACGACACTTTTCTTCGTTAAAGGGAAACTCCGCTCCATTCTCGGTTGTTACCAAACACTGCGACTCTCTTTAGTGTCATCTAGAGAGACCGAATGTCAAATATTATAACGTAATACCGCCTAAAAGATCACTAAACCGGCCGACAAAAACTGAGACGCGCGAAGTCACCAAAATCCGCTAATTTAGCGGGCGACGTGCGGCGCAGCCAACGTTGTATTTCCGTTGTGGCTGACGTCTGTTGCATACACAGTTTTTTTTTTGTATTTTCTTTTCCAGGGAGAGCTTACCGGGCGGCGCTACGGACGCGCTCCACGTTTGAGCAAGCAAAGAGGCGAAAAAAAATGAACGAGAACAAGAGAAACAAAAAGAGGAAGAGAGAGTTGTACGGGATGAGTTTATGACACACCTGCCAACCGGTGCCAACCGACTAGCCGCCTGTGTTGCCGCCTACATAGCCTGCTTCGTTGCTGCTTGCGTTGCCTGTTTGCCGCCGCGCCTAGGCCCGCTTTCCCTCCTCCGTCCTCGCCCTTCCCCTCGCATCCGCGTCTTTCTTGGGTTACCGCTAGTAGATGATGTGACCCCTTTTATTCCACGTGAGCGCGTATGCAACTGACGTTGTGAGTACAATGTTGCCCGGCTGCGCCGAAGTTTCAGTTTCGGTTTGCGATTGTGGTAAATAACAAGATCGCACGAAAAATATTTTGCTTTTAATGAGACAAACGGTCTAGGGTTGTTTTGAAGTACTTTTCACGTTTATATCACCCACTATCTCAAAATTTCCGAAATCAAGCGGAGTTGCCCTTTAAATTTAGTGGAGTAATTGCTATGTCACGACACCTGACACATGGCATCACATGATACTGCGTCGTCACGTGACAGAGAACCATTACATGACATCATGACGGCATATCACGTGACGCCACGATGTGGCGTGACACACTGACGGTAAGTAATGTCATGACGTCACTGGGCACGATGCTATCACGCGACATGTGAACTTGTGTGACACTATGTTGCGCGCAATGTCGTCGCGTGAGATTGTGAAGTCATGGGGCGCGACTAACTCGATCAAGAAAGGTCCTTGCAAGGCTTGCATATCGAGCTATCGCTTCGAAACAGGGGTATCAAAACTCTTTGAGTAGATGGCCGAACTGGGGATTTCTCGCAGTCTGGAGGGTCAGAAAATTGTTAAGAAATTATAAATGATAAAGTACTGCATTAAAAATCGTTCACCCTTTCCACTCTCGTGAAGAAGGAAGACCACCGGAGTTGTACTCGATACATTGTGCACTTCTTCTTCATCGTCGTCTGTCTTTCGCGCTGTTTCCTACGATGAATTCCCACCAACGCGCCCAACTATCCATTCTTCTATTATAGCTGGAAAGGTTGGCGCCATCTACGAGTGACGGCGGAAACTATACTGGTTGTGTGCTTGCCGCCGTCGCTTATAGATGGCGGTAGCTGTCCAGGCAGGTTTGTGTCGACATACCGGACATGATCCTGGGGAACCTAGCCCATAGCAGCTTTGCTGTAAAAAGCCTAAATAAGCGTTTAAATACAAAGGTTTTAACTAAAGAACAACTTCAAAAATAAATGTAAGATGAATGAATATATCCACTTTCGTTTTAAATGTACTAAGATAGTAATTATGGCATTACAAAGCAGTAACCGAGAGAACTCACCAGGCATAGACCAAAGCACACTGGAACGTCGGCATATTCACACAGGGCAGAAGAATAGTGAGAATAGTAGTTCTGATGATGACAATATGCGAGGGTGATGACACAATACACTAAGTCCGATATTCATGAGAACGCTTAGGAATTTCATTATATAGTTGCACACACATAAACCAGGAAACTACGAATAGTAAAAAATATTCTGCACAAAAAATATTCTCTCGAGAGATCGTGATGCAATTTTCTCCCACTTTCTTTTTTTTTTTTTCGTTTGCGCTTTTGGTGCGCGTCGAAGAGCCCTTTTAAAATTTTACGTACGCTTATTTTTGCGTTTAAGGCATCGGGTCGCGGACTGGGCGTCAATTAAAAGACCGCCTCTACCCGCGGGCCAGATCCTTGGTTCGGAGACCCCTGCTTCAAAACATAGCAAAGAAGAAGTCTCAAACTTTGAACTCACCCCAAGAGGATCCTGGCGTCCCGGTACCCGATGGTCTGAGCCGCAATCGCCGGCAAGCCCGCAAACGCAATGTCGATTCTTTCCGTAGATGCTGCGTCACGAGAAACATAAAATAACACATGTAAAAGCATGTAGCGCACGACCGCTGAATGGACCTAACCATTAAGACCTTTAACTTTTATTTAAAATAATACTTCTATAGTTAAGTTTAGGGAGCCCTCGATGCCTTTCTGCTGGCGCAAACGTGCGGTATAATCTCACTTTTTAGTTACACCCACGCAGCCTCGTGAGAATGCTACAGCGTCGTACAGGGAAATATTCTTGACCATAGAATGATTCCTTTGTGTTCACGCCGAATGTAAAAACTGGGCTTCCTCATTATACTAAAGCTGCTGTTACACTGCCAGTACATATTACAAAAGGCAGTCTGCAGCTAGACACTTGTAAGACGTGTTTCTTCCTTGTATGACAATCTTGTAACATTTGTCATACAAAACTGTCTCCGCAGACCCTTCTGTCACGATGCCTGCAGCGAAAGCCTTGTGCCATTGTGCGGTTTACGAGCAGTGTGGCTCCGGCTTAATGAAAGCCTCGTAGCAGACGTAATTTTGACTTCGGAAGCTACTTCCACCGCACAACTCGACCTTCGACCTGACGTCGGTAACCTTTGTTGTGTTCCAAGCTAACGTAAAACAGGCAGTTTTTTTGTTGTTTTTTTTCGCCGCTGCGCACGCGGTTATCTCTGTCGCGGCCAACTTGTTGAGGGGACTTACGTGGAATACAAGTTCAAGTTAACGGAACATTCGTGCATGTACCCCGTTTGACGCCAAATCCCATTGCTGCCAACGAACTGCGATCTATAGGGAGCCAATCATGCAGCACAAAACGTGTACACTGTCGTGGCGCTCGTCGTATATGTGCGTGTTTGCTGTCACCGGCCAATGTGCCAATCATGTTCAGCAAATACAGTGATCCTGCGCTTTTTTTTTCTTTTCTGCATCAATGGTTAAGCCGGTAATAACCAACGCACGACGAAGAGGGCGATCGCCGCGACGACACTCTCTCAGCGCTCCCCGATTGGTGGCATCGAATCGTACGGCCGCACCGTGAAACGAAGTATATGGTAACAGGAGCAGGCAGCTTGATACATTTGTCACGAACACAGAACGTGCCAGGTGACTCACGGTCGTGTCGCAACTAGTCAAACGTGTAGTCAAACACTGCAGTGCAAAAGGGCCGCTGTCGCGCAGCTAATATACGATAACACAAGCATGTGTGCTTCATGCATTTTGTATGCTTTGAACACGTCTGCAGGTAGTTTTTGAATTATCAATGTGACAAGCAAGAAATGTGTTCTAGACAGTGTCTGCAAAATGTCTTTTGTATGGTGTACGGTCGAGACCGGCTATAACAAGTCGGTTATAAGGAAATAGCGGGTATAGCGAAGCGATCACGATTTTTCATTCCCTTTTGCACTTCGTTATAACCTGTGGGGATTCCTCTGGTCTCCCTTCCCCGATGGCTGTGATAACGGCCGCGGGTCGGAACGCTCGGCCTTCTTCGCCGTGAGCTCCGACCTGTTCCTGAGGCGGAGGGCCGCCTGGCTTGGGGGGCCCTCCTCTCACTCTCTCTCGGGGGAACCTCTTTCCGTCCCCCCGCTCGGTTGCGGATCACTGCTGACGGGCGAGGAGGATTCGCCTCTTGTCTTCCCGCTTTCGGGAAAAGGGACTCGTCCGGGTGACCGCGAAAGAGATAGGACGTGTGTCGGCGACTTCTCCGACGCTTCCCCGGTCTTGGCTCTCCGGAACCCCGCGTCTGGCCAGGTAAGGACCTTCTCTTACCTTGCCGGCGCGGGGGGCATTTTGGATGGGGACATAGTAGTTCATTTTAAGAGTGTTCGAATAAATGCTCTTGGACTCTGTCCTTACTCTGGTACGTGTGTCTTCTCCTCCGCTATATTCGAGAGAGTGAGACAAGGTAAACGATCATTGGCACCGACGGAGGTAATTAATCGAACCGACCCGCGGTAATGTGGCCCTAAACGTCGTCTACATTGCCGCGGAGATGTGGGGACCGCGCGCTACTAGGTTTGACGTCTCCTTTGAGATATCGCCGCTGTTGAGACAATCCTTTGGTTACTCTATCGGTACCTGTGTTAGTTGGTAGCTAGCAAAATCCCACATAAAATGGCGCCCAACGTGGGGCCACGGCTTCCTTTATTGTGGTCGTGGCTCCTGGCCTCCGTCCCTTTCGTCCGGCCTATTTGCCGACCATCCTTGCCTTTGATCGCCCGTACCACGAGCGTCCTGATCTCGCCACTTATGGTTGAGCGATTAATGCCGAGTCGGCAACCCGCAGTGCCACTCCTTTGAGCGAGCGCAGTGTGATTCGTACGCGCGTTCCTGTTTTAAATTAGCGTGCGTCAAGCAACATTCGTTGTTGCGGGAGATCCTTTGTTCTCCATGCTTGAGGCGAACCCTTCACCTGTGTGTATTTGGGTTCCTTGCGCGCCACCAACAACTTGTCCTGAAGGGATATTGTATATAGAAGTTTTAATGATGTTTTCGAGAACCGGGTGGACTTCTATGTCCGGCGGGTAGCGAGGCTTGGCAGAAAAGAGTAGCGAAGGATCAGCAGTGCAATCTGGGAATGTAAGTATTCGCGTTTTCTTTGACTCTGAGTAGTCGCGGACACTCAGTTAGAGTCGGACGGTGCGCCTGCCAATAACGTCGATAAGTAGCTGGTACTGCTACTGACGGGCTCCGGGAGCCGGGCCGCGTAACCGTCGGCGTCGAGAAGCAGTTCGCATACTGTTGACGCGCGCGCTGGATTCACTGCTGGTATTGCAGTGGGCGCGGAGGGTTTTCTTAGGGAAAGTTTTGTTTCTGCTTGATGCCAACGTACTCCTGCAGCCTGTTGTTGTTTTCCAAGAACGACACTAGCTTTGCGTTCATGGTGGTGGTGCTACGCGGTCTGAGGCGCACTGTGACAGTATCTGGGCGTACGAGTGACTCTAAGACTTTCGGAGGTTATGTTGCTCTGAAACCCAGGCGCCATGTAGTCAGAGCGCCCTTTGGCGATATCTGTCAGACTCGTGTAATCCAGATGGAAGAGTGACTCTAAGACTCTTAGCAGTTACGTTGCTCTGAAACCTGGCCTTGCCTCAAAAGAAGGGTCCACACCGTTGTGAGCCGTTCATCAAGCCGTATCGAGTGCAAGACATGTTTTTCTATCCTCGGTAAGCTAGCTAGCTCAAATATTTGGCGAAGCTGGCAGGTTTGAGCGTGTGAGCTGCGGCCCCTTTTGTCTTCCTCCGTGGGGAGCAAGATGGCGGCTATTTTGCGCGGGAACTTTCATCTTCCCCGCTCGCAGACGCGCATGCATGGCGGTTAGTTTCTATCCGCCCCTTCGAAGTCCCCGTATCCGTTTACCTCGACTTCCGAAGACGGGTCAGCTGCAGACTGTTATCTGTTTCTGGCCACTTATAGTCAACGGACTCTTCCGGTAACTATAAAGCCGGGTATTGTAGGCAGCCTCTGTATTAGCTGCCTGCGCAAACGATTGAGAACTCGGCGTTTTTCCTAGAAGCTCTCTCCCCGGTGCCCACATTGAGCGAACTCAATTAGTTTGCTTGGTATGTGGACGCGTTTCGAACGGAGGGGCCCTCTTTTTATGGCTTCTTCTTCCGGTGTCGAATCGGGTCACTCTGGCATGTTCCTGTCACCGTTGACAAACTGGCCACCTTTTTTGTGGTTTTTGTTTGTCGTTTGCCCCTGCCCGTTTTGCCGCCTTTGCGGCCTGAGGCAGGCGATCGTCGGTTGCGCGCGTCCCCTCGTTTGGAGGCGGCGGCGCCCTTTCTTCCCTTTCGGGAGGTCTACGGCCGGCTCTGGGCGTGTTGGCTGCTGGCGCAAAACGACTTCGCAGGTCTGCTCCGAGGTCGTCCACCCCCCCTTCACCAGCCCACTGCGGCCGAGATGGCGCCGAACCCCCCGGGCGGCGTGTCTGGGACTTCCCCAGCTGGTCTCCGCTGGTGGGCGGCGGTCGTCGGTCTTTTTTGGTGCTGCCGCCTTCACGACGGCCTGGCTGCCCCCCACTGCAGGCCAGCTCGTACCGCGACACCTGGGTCCAGCAGCGTCAGCGCGGTGCCTGTGATGCTCTGCCGTGCTGTGGCGGCGGCTGTCAAGTGCTTGGAACTGGAACTTTCCTTTTCTTCGGCCTGGTGCGTGAGCTGTTGACGACGGACACTGTGAAGACGCGCGCTGGGTGTCGCGTGTATTTGTTGGGGGTGCGCAGAGAGATATATTATTTTATGAGAGCAGGTGGGCCTCCTTCATTCTTGAGACCCACCTACCGTTTTAAGGAGGGGGGGATGTGGGGATTCCTCTGGTCTCCCTTCCCCGATGGCTGTGATAACGGCCGCGGGTCGGAACGCTCGGCCTTCTTCGCCGTGAGCTCCGACCTGTTCCTGAGGCGGAGGGCCGCCTGGCTTGGGGGGCCCTCCTCTCACTCTCTCTCGGGGGAACCTCTTTCCGTCCCCCCGCTCGGTTGCGGATCACTGCTGACGGGCGAGGAGGATTCGCCTCTTGTCTTCCCGCTTTCGGGAAAAGGGACTCGTCCGGGTGACCGCGAAAGAGATAGGACGTGTGTCGGCGACTTCTCCGACGCTTCCCCGGTCTTGGCTCTCCGGAACCCCGCGTCTGGCCAGGTAAGGACCTTCTCTTACCTTGCCGGCGCGGGGGGCATTTTGGATGGGGACATAGTAGTTCATTTTAAGAGTGTTCGAATAAATGCTCTTGGACTCTGTCCTTACTCTGGTACGTGTGTCTTCTCCTCCGCTATATTCGAGAGAGTGAGACAAGGTAAACGATCATTGGCACCGACGGAGGTAATTAATCGAACCGACCCGCGGTAATGTGGCCCTAAACGTCGTCTACATTGCCGCGGAGATGTGGGGACCGCGCGCTACTAGGTTTGACGTCTCCTTTGAGATATCGCCGCTGTTGAGACAATCCTTTGGTTACTCTATCGGTACCTGTGTTAGTTGGTAGCTAGCAAAATCCCACAAACCGAAGTCGGTTTTAACGAAATATCGGATATAGCGAAGTGATTTCTGATTCCCGTTGACTTTGTTATAACCGGTCTCGACAGTATTCTCAGTGTCACAGCTGAGTTCGCCCAAAGTTACCTCACGCTTTTAATGGCATGCACTTACGCAGTGCTGGCACTCCCGGAGTCATGGGGTCACCGACAGACATCAGGGATCCCCTCTGCATGGCCGTGTCGGGCATCCAGGTGCTGTTGGGGAACACGTTGTCTAGACCTTCCCTGGCAACCTGCTCTGGGTCCAGGAAGAGAAGGGCACCGACGCCGCCTCGGGCAGCGCAGTTACGGACTTTCTGCCCCCTGTATCCATTGCCGTACCTGCGACCAAACGAGGAGTCCCGTGGAGCGTGCCTCTGCCGAATAACCGGCACTCACTGTTACAGCGTAGGCCAAAGGAATAGGCCCATTCAAAATCACATCGAGCAACATCGGTGACTCCTTGGGCAGGAAGTGTTCGATTGAACCCGAGCCCGCTCCTAACACCCACGCTACTCTCGTTTTTTGGACAAACTGTGCCGCGTTCACGTTGAACACTTACTCAGTCCTTATGGTGAATTTTTTTAATAGAGGGCAGAACTTGGCAAGCTGATTCGCCGATCCACAAGCCTCCCGCGTAGATTCGGGCCGTGTGACATAACTATGATTCCGTGTTTTTGGTAAATACCTATAAGCCCCCAGAAATTAAGACTAGAACAAGTTTTATTTCATTAGAGGAAACCCAAAGAAACCTAAATCTACATTCTTCCCCGGATGAGGAGCCATCTATCGGGAAACATTGGAACCATGCTGCTTATGGCTGGATCTGAGGGTTTTTTGGGTGGAAAACATGAGCGCCATTAGGCTTCATCTCTTCACGTTGATAGGTTTCATTTCAAGTACGTCAGCTTTCTGTCTAGCTTTTGTGGCTCCTCTACTTTTTTGGTTACAACTGAGGATGGCCGAGGACATCCCGTATCAGCCCGGCGGCTGGGTTGAGAAGCCACCGCAGTTCGCGGGCAAATCACAAGGCAAAGTGTGGCCATACCAGCACTATAAGACAGGTCCAACGAGGATGTGTGACAGGTCCAACGAGGATGCAACGTTAGGAGGAAGACCTCAGATAGCTCTCGCATATACCTCTTCCGAGGCGTTTGCCTTCCGTCGATGAAGAAGGCGCCGTACACCCCTTATCCAATTGGTTTTCGAGAAACACCTGGAGCGTCATGGCGGCAGTCCTACCTTTGGTGGACGTGGACGCGCAATTTTTCTATCGTTCGCTGCGATAGGAATTGTTCTTGTTTCGTGTCAGCGAACACAGTCGGCACAAAGTCGGTCATCTTTCTACAGCGATGGTTGTCCTGTCTAAAAAAGCGGCAATGTAACAATCACGCCACTAGTTATCGCGCTTTTTTGAAGTGAAATTAACGTGATTGACCTGGTGACGAAGTAAGCTCCGCATATTGTACACGACTTTATTTTTGCGGGCACGACATTTCTCAAACTTCTGGAACATTTTTCGGGCAAATAATTTTGCGATTAGGAGTTGTTTTCTAGGTATTCTTTATCGTAGGGTAATATATTCGTGGGTAATCTATATTTCACGCTTATATTCAAGTCGAGAAATTCGCGAAAATTAATTCTCTTGAAAATTAAATCCTTCAAAGGAGTGGAGTCTGCTCATATGCCTCCGAAGTTTTTGTAAAACCTGACGGGTCGACCCCCTTTACCGTACAAACCGACGTCGCTTTTCTAATAAAGCCGAATTTCTCACACGGAATCAACAACAAAAAGACTGGTCCCCTCGCTCGGCCGGTAGTGATTCACACGTTCAGACGCAACACAGCTCCTCGGCATCGTCCAAACACAACGAAAATCACACGGCGCAGCTCGCTGCAAACAAAATGGCAGCCTTGTTTTTCTTCCCCGCCCACTTCAGGCTGGCAACACGTGTCCTGTGTACTCTCGAACCGAAAAGACGAAAAAGGCGTGGGTCTTTCGACAGAATAACCAAAGTTTTACGAAAATGAATCTTTATCTGCAGCTTTAACTTTTGTCCGTCACCTGCGTTGTTCAACACAAACCCCGACAAACGCCGATTTTTTTTCGGATGCGAATCTGTGAATCACCGAATCTGTGGCAAAAATACACCCCGATAAAACACCCCCCGATTCGTAGGAAAATGAACTTTCAAAAACACGGAACACTAAACATAACTTCCCACTCCCTGTTTTTAGTGTAGTGGCGCGCTTACCTGGCAAGGCAGACTGCACCGTTTATGTCGACGCCCATTTGTTGCAGCATATCGAAGTCTTCGTTCGTGCCGTAGTTGACGTAGACCAGGTTTCCCTGCGTCGCGACGGTCAGACATGTTTGTTCAGTTTCTTGGGAGGGCCTTGTCGTGAGAACACATCATGAACTCTTTTACAGGAAAGTCTCACAAACTAACCACAATTTGACAAGTTAGTAAGCAACGAGTAGGCCTTTTTTCTTTTCTTTTTTTCTTGGGGGGGGGGGGGGGGGGGGGGAAGTGCTACTGTAGTTTTTGTGGTTAACCGTGTTGGTCATTGGTTTGACTAGTGCAGCTTGATAAAACTTAATTCTCGTATCATAGGAGGTACTTACTGTAGGGAAGTTTTTTTATTGTTATTTTTGGCTCAATCAATCGCTTTGTTGCACGAAAAAAAATTTGAAATATAAATTTATTGCACGTTAGAACTTGTCAGAAACCAGAGAGCCGTAAGACTCTCGCAATATTCCTCTGTGCAATTCAGATGAAAATGTATCGTGCGAATACTGTCAAGATTATTATAGTTCTATTTTATATGCCCGTAAATTGAAGATATAAAAGGTTGGTAGGGCTGTTTACATAAGGTTAATTCGCTCTACAATAAATTGTATTTTAAAACACACAAAAAAACCTGAAAAAATGCTTTACCGTCCATTATGCTTCCTGACTTCGATAAACGCCAATCCCATATCAGTTTCTTTGTTTCTTTTTTTTTTTTTTCGGGGCTAAGATTTTAATACGGCGACGACCCAAAACTTACAAGAACGTCATTAGGGGGCGAGTAGGCTAAGAAGGCCGGGCCAATGTCCGAGTTTACTCCAGGAATGACATCTTCTTGTGTGGCTGCATCGAAGAAGACCTCTCCGCTGCTGATATTCAGAACTTGAACCTTGGGATAGAAAGGAATGCTTATTTATAGTATATTTTTCATTGGGTTAATTAATGCTTTATATCCTATGGCAATTCTAATGACAAGAGGTTCTGGTTTTTTTATTATTATTGTGGGCGCTTACTTGGTTAACATGGTTTAAGGATTCTAATCAAGCTGAAGTTATAATCATGCACGCCTTGTTTTCTAACAAAAAAACTTAATGAAATTGTAATATCATTTCTTTCTTTTGAGCCGAGAGTAGCCTAGAGGAGCAAGGAGGAGAAGACGCAAAAAAGTAGGACTTGGTCATTTTAATCGTGTTCAAATTGCTTGTGTAAATCATGAATGCATCTCCGTTCCCTTTTTTCGACCCGAAATGTCGGTTGTTATTCCTGAATCTGAATCAGAGAACGCAAGAGCACGGGAAAGAGAACATGTTGCGCTAGTATTCGTGGCGTGCGTACACTTTTCACTGTAACGTTTTAGGAACATTTTGTTGTACATTTCCTCAAAAGATCCTCAGTACAAATTCAAGTGAACTTTCAGAAACTTGCAAACTCCATTACATCATGCACCATCAATAGGGGAGCGATTAACCCCCTTACATTATGGCCCTTTAGCATACTTAGGGGTCAAATATACCATAAATATTGTTTTCCAGCTATCAAAGTGATGACTGTTAAATAAAAATATAATTACGTCAGTACGTTTTTGGATTGGTTTATACATATGCTGCTAAAGGCTGAAATAGCCCTTCACACAACACTTTCTGTCAACGAAATTTAATAGAGGTCGAGCGAAAGCACTTCCGATAGTTTTACGCGAGGAATTTATCGATATCATTGAGTTTGTTGGCAGATTTTTTTTCGGATGTGAAATCGACATGTTTTCCTCATACTCTTGCTATTTTTATTTCTTAGTGTCTTAGGTAATATTAACTCGTTATGCATGTTCTAAATTTATTGTCGGTGGTAGTAATACCTACCTCTGTTGGACAAATAAATAAATAAACAAAAGAGGCAAACAGAATGTTGCGTTATATTCGTAAGCTCAGCTTCACAGGTTTTATTAACTTGAAGGCAAAAGCGAGATTTTTTTTTTTCTTTCACGATCACATATTAACATATTTTGCAAGCTATATTGGTAGCGTGCGCAACACTGGATGAGTTTCGCACTTACCGTATTGGGATCGGAAACATTGGGATAGGAGAGCAGCACGTCGTAAGACGCTATCTTCACAAAATCCAAGCCATACTCAGTGAACTTCTCTTTGATGTAGTTGGCCAGGTCATTCTCTTCTCTCGCCGTTCCGGCAACATGAGGTTCCGCGGCAAGAAATCTGTAGTTCAGCAACAATTGCCACAAAAAGAAAAAAAGAAAATAATGACCTTTTTTTTATTTTACAAGTGACGACGTACCGATCATTGTAATCGTCGGACCTTGTGATATGGTGATAGAGTCACATATTTTGTTTTCATAACTTTAAACTTTTTTGGGGGGTTTTTAGGTTTTAATTAATATTTGTAGCATCCCAGATAATTTGTTTTAAGTTAGCTTTTCTTTTTTAGAGAGATTGTTTGTTAATTTTTAAAAGCTGTCACCGCGCCATCACCGCGTCATCACCACGTCATCGTCATCAGACAGAATTTTATCAAATTGCTTATAAACGCTTTCTCTGAAAATGTAAGGAATATGAACCGGAAATTATCCATCACTCGCAACCTTTTCAGTCACATATTTGGGCATTTAACTTTCCGCCTCAATAATGGCATTTCTCCCGATTATACCCCTCAACGTCATCCATTCTCTTCTCTTGTTTTGTTAGAACATCAGTAATGCAAGGACACTTTCTTTTTTCACAGTAAATCATTAAGGCAAAAATAATACAGAGGTGCATTCGAAAAGCCATTCAGTGACATTCATCCATAATCAATTCATCCATGGTAAAGGTGAGACACATCACGGGGTATATTGCGGTCTCAGCACAAAGTGAGTTGTTCCCCACTCTGTCACTGAGACCGCATGGCTATTACAGCACGTTTCTGATCACCTCTCTTAGTGATCGAACTAATTCAAGAAAAATACGTGAGTGGTTCATTTGGTGCATCGTTGTGCACCTTACGCCCAGGAGGTTCAGAAAGTGCAAAGACGTAATACCACATAGACGACAAGGTTTGCGTCCCATCCCATTCACCTATGTCATCACTAGTGGAAGCATGCGACGCCACCTGTTCGGAGAGCTGATTCGTCTAATTATTGGGCATGAATTCCGGTGACGCTATAACGACGCCGAGCTCTAATTGGCTTTGATAGAATTGATTGATCTCAAGGCATCTAGCATTGAGGTCTACCCAATACCCTATTGGGTAGACCTCAATGCTAGATGCCTTGAGATCGACCCGCTATCCTTTCAATAGGAACCAATCAGAGCGTGACGTTCTGAATAATTGCAACCCCGGTGCAAGAAGCAGACGAACTTGCGTAGCGCAGGTTCGTCTGCTTTGGAGTCGCCAGCGGCATGGTCTTGCAGCATCTCACAACGAACGCGACGCTATCATCGCGGCGACGCCAGGCACATGCATGCATCTGGAGGCCGCTCTGCGGCCCATTCTCTCGTCGAGCTTTGGCGAGTTTTCGACTTTGGACGAATCTGGAATCCACTGATGAATATACAATGTCTTCTACAGGCGGCACTGAGCCACACCCACTGCGACTTACTTGAGATGCTCCTCGATTTTGGCCGAATCGATGGCGTGTACAAGACGCCTGACAAAACCACCTTGAGCAGGAGTCTTCTTGACGTCCTCCAGAAGCGCCTTCAGAGCGTCGCTCGCTCCGGCTGTTGCAGGCGTGGTGGTTCCCACCAGTGGCTTGTGGTCCTTGGCAGCCTTGGGTGCGTGCGGCACGGCGTAGTGGCCGATGAGGACGCCGACGCCGAGGCCGATCGCGATGATCAAGCCGGCCATTATCATTTTCTTGGTGTCCATGGCCACTGCCGGTTTGCTGTCCAAAAGATGCACTAACTTAATATTCGCGCCCGCATATCAAAGGCTGGATTTAAAATTTAATTTATGCCCTAGATGACATGTAATGAGTTAGCTCTTGAGGTCCTTTGTTACTCCTCTGAGGTCCGTCATGCCTGGCGACCTCGGTCTGCCTTAGTGCAGCTCCGTTTTCGTACCCATTTTTGTTTTTTAAATTAAGGCGGTGCACAATTATAGAACAAGCGAGAGTTTTCCGTCCTATTGAGTGCGGCGATTAACACTTCACGCTAAACTTAGTCGACAACCAAAAAATCTTTCAGCATTTCTACTGTAGTAAAGAAGGAAGACCAGCGGAGCTGTACAGTGGAAAGTAATGGCCGGCCGCAAGTCGGCAAGTCATGATGATGATAATGCGGCTGTTCCCTTTAGATCGGGCGGGGTTGAAGAATATTATTGCGAATGCATTAACTGTCTCATGAAGCGAGCTGACGTCATCGTTTGAAGCGCGAAAACGGCACATAGTTTCCCCAATCCTTCGGTTCTCGCCTCTGCGCTCGTCAGTTTCCACGACCGCTCATCCCATGGCGCTGCGCGTCCATCGGCGCGCCGTCGCTCCCCTGGGCACGGAGCGTCCAAGGTCGTGCCCGGGGGAGCACACGCGCTGACCAGCGACGAAAAGTACGCAGGAGACGAAACAGGGAGCAGACGGGCGGCTTGCATGCTTTTGCATGCAAGCTCTGTTTTATCCGGTGTGTCTCTTCCCTTTTTGTCCTTTTGCGCTGTGTCTGTGTCATTATGTATAACCAAGACCAGCTGGCCCAACTTTCTACTTTATTAATGCTTAGGTGTACCTCGATCTTTTTATGCCCAAGCCTGGGGGCGATTGCGTGCTATTGCTCCGTAAGGTGCATCTTTTTCCACAAGTCCCCTAATCGTCTCTTTGTTGCCTCGACAGAAGGCCTGTACAAGCCACTGGAGGCCATAGTCTCGTTCGAGGCAGGCCTGTCCGCTGGTGCGCCTGGCCTAACCTCAATGGTTTGGTGGCCATCTCAAGAAACAGTGAAGCCCAATACTTCGGCAAGCTCCAAGGGGCATTGAGGGTCTCGATCGTTGTCTTGTGACCGGTTTGGCCGGAGGCCTTGACATTCCAGTACAATTCGCGCTGCTGTTTCGTCGTGGGCCCCGCACACCCGGCTCACGCTCGTGGTCACGGTGGAATCGAAGTTCCCTCTTTAAGACAGCGTCCTTAGTGCCCCGGCTCGTGCCTCAAAAGTGGAAAGGCTGCCGCCATTTATGAGTAACGGCGGCAACCAGATACGTGGCTTGCCGCCATCGCTTATAGATGGCGGTAGGTGTCCAGAGTTCGGTGTCTTCACTTCTTCGCTGGGGAGACGATCCCGGGGAAAGTAGCCCTTAACAGCTCCGCTGTAAAATTGGTGTGCATCTATACACCAATCGAGGTTCTTGCACTATCTTTCCCGGATAATCGCTGCCCACTAAATTCAACCGGAAAGTTGAACTGTTTTTTGTTTTGTTTTTTACTATACAGTAGCATTGGTTTTTCCGAGAAATTTAGCTATGGACTCGTGGCGGACAAGGCACACCATATCACCGTCTGGTAAGCCCAGAAATGTTTTCAGATTTAGAGTCATTAATACTACGGTGTCTTAAACAAGTCACCGACTGCTGTCTATACCATGTCCAAAAAAGTGGTCCCTCGATTGCCGCCTAATAACGTCAAAGATGTGTCCTGCCGCCGCCGACCGCGGTCCTTGTGGTGTCAGAGCAGCGGTGTTGGGTGTGGCAGACGCCTATTTGCTGCAGGTCGCTTCCGGTTCGACAGTCAGGAGTCGGGAGGCCACGACGACGGCGACGCTCGCGTCTAGCTCGTGCTTTTTTGTTGGAACATCTAGGACCAACCACTAGGATTGCGGGAACCGACAAAGTGAAAGTTTGAATTTTGTAACGTCATTTGTTGCCATTTATGACCAATTTCGATGCACGGGCTGAATAGGACGCAAAAACACTTGTCAGAGACGCGTTCTAAGCTCCGTACAGACGGCTTAAGAATCGCAGGGTGAGGTCTATCATTATGATGATAATGCATTTAATGCAAAGGTGCGAGCGAGCTGAATGAGAATAACGATAATAAACTCCGGAGAAGGGGAACAAGTGGGAAAAAAGGCAAACACAAGTCTCCAAACAAAGCTAGATGACTGGTGCGCGACTGAAAAAATCCGCCGTGTCCTGGTATCGAACCAGGGGCCTTTTCATTTACAGTGGAGCGCTCTACCACGTGAGCTAACCAGCAATTAGACCTCAGTAGTGCAAACTGGTTTTAACACCTGCTACCAGTCCAACACCAACAAGGGTGCAATTCCACATGCCGAGTAGAGTTTGGGTGCCTAAGAAAAAATTAGGCGTTCGAGACGCTGATTACTTTATCATTCAGCGCCTGCAATTATCTGGATCAGGTTTTAAATTACAAAACAAATAGTTATTTATCTTTCGCGAGAGCTAGATTTTGCTGTAAGAACAAGCAAAAAGCACAGAGGGCTGATTTCAGCTCAAATATTTTTGTAAATTAAACAAAGAAGAAAAATCAATAATATCAATGCTGCGACATTTGGGCGGCTATGTCAAAATAAACGTTGAGTTCATTATACTATTTATTTAATCGTTGTATAAAACTTAGAAAGTACAAGAACGTAGGCTTCGTTCTGGTTTTACCTACACCGATGCACGTTCACATCATTCAGCTTTGAAACCAAATGTTCACAACGCAAGCAACATCAGTGTCTCCAGGCAGCGTGAAAACTAAATCTAACTAGGTGCAAGAAACGCGTCTTTCAATTGGATAAACCGAATCATATTTAACTTACGGGTCCAGCTTGTTTCGCAACGAAGACCGAGCCAGTCCAGAAGCAGGCCAACGGCAGAGTCAAGCGGTCCGCCGTAGGCGACGAAATGAGGGGCGGCCGGGGCTTATCCCCAAATCTCCAAAGAAGAGGGGAATTGCTTTATTGCCCCCGCAATCAGCGACGGACCCCCCCATTCGTGCCGTCGACTTCGGAATGTCTTCTTGTAAACCGGATTCAACAATACGGCGATAGCCGCAAGTGTTTGTACGACGTGTGACGGCCACCTTTAGCGTTCGCCACGGCCGCGTGAGTACGCGTAGAGGTGATGTCATCCGCCCTCGCCCGAAGAGCGTTCGCGTTAAGCCTAACGGATGCACGGCTCGTGGCCTAGTTCGTGGAGTTTCGCTGCCTCCACGACAAGTGGCGAACACCGTAGTCACGACAGCTGGTGTGTCTTATTATCTTTACGCAACTTTCATTGCGGTGCATTCTTCAGCAATCTTATCTGCTAATCCAGCAATCCCATTGGGTTCCGCGAGATAATGAGATGCTTGAAACTCGCCATGCCAAGAGTTTGCTAAAGTTGTCAGTGACGGTGCTTGCAGAAACATTTAATTGCATTATAATTAGGGTTCGGAGTTTTCGGTTTAAACCGATAAAAACCGATAAGAGTACGCCGAATCCATTTTTGGAAATTCGGTTTTAACCGAAAAAGGTCAGTTTTTAGGTTCGTAATTTTCGGTTTAAATTGATAAAAACCGATAAAAGTACGTCGAATTCATTTTCTAAAATTCAGTTTTAACCGGAAAAGGCCACTTTGACCTTCCAGTCGTACCGCAGAGCCGTGGCCAAAAAAAGTGGAACGACAGTGTCTATCGAAACGTGTTCGAAGGTATGGGATACACGGATGCCATCCCGACGTTTTGGTTTAATGTGCGCATCATCGATCGGAACGTGAAGTCTGAAATGCGTAATGACTTCGTCATGTACGAGCGTGTTCTCAAACTCGTTGTAAGGAAGACTGACTTCGTGGAAGCTCTGCATATTGTGTTGCGCTTCAAAACGTCGCAGCGTGTCTCTTTTGGCGGTCACAATTGGTTGATTGGCCGATTTTGGCTCAGGCAGTGCTTCATCTCATCAGCCTGCCAGTGTCCAGTGTTAGTGCTGAGTGGGCATTCTCAAAGCTCAGGGTCATAATAACAGGAAACAAGAGTCCGGATCAACGAGGAGAACCTGGAAAAGCTAAAGTACACGTGTGTGCACTATAATAAGATCACATAATCCTGATGCACAGAAGGTGATGTTCCATGTTTTTTTTGGCATAGGCTTTGTATCTGACTTGTTTGTACTTCTGAGTTCCTTTGTTTGTTTTTTTTGTTTCTTTTACAGTTGCACACATTTGCCAAATAAAGCGTCCATTTATTTTTCAGTGTATCGGTGCCGTTATTCGTTGAGTGATCACAAATATCAGAGCTAGAAGATCATGTGATCCAGTGTCGGTTGGTGTTTATTTTATATTCACCGAAAAAAGCCTATAAACTTTTGTGGGCATAAATATACGCCGAAAAAAACCGAAAATTCGTTTTTTAAATAAACACCGAAAAAAGTACGCCGAATTTCGAAAAAATAGAAACCGAAAACGCGGAACCCTAATTATAATCATAACATTAAATTGCAAGCTTCACCCTTGTTGGTGTACGACTGGTGGCAGCTGATAAAATCAGATACACTTTCTTAGAAACCTTTTCTTGCGTTTCAGTCTCGTCAACTCCGTGTTCTTCTAATAACACGTTTGGGAGCAAGCGGTATATTTCCTGGAAGATAGCATGTCGCCAAAAAAGCTGTCATGGCGTGTTTTCGACATCTTCATTGTTGAACATTTGATTGTAGCCTCGTCATGTCGCAACTGACTCCTTGTAGCCGCGGTCGCACTGCTAATGCCCCAGTCCCACTAGAGCGACAAACAGAAACGACCGATACACCGACAAGCCTTAAACAGGTGCTACGTGCTTGTTAGTGTTCTTTTGGCAGGCTCGCCGTCCCTTGGTGCTCTTAAAGTAAGCATGGAGCCTTGTCAAGGATACCTTCGCGTGTAAGCTGCACCTGTTTGATTGAGGTTTGTGGGTTTCGGCTGCTTCTGTT